GCATGCTCGTCGGCTTCGTGAATGCCAGAATCACGGTTCTGGCCGCGAGGCCGATGAGGTGCTTCAAGTGCCTAGCCGCGGGACACACTCGCACCAAGTGCGAGAGTTGCTTTGACTGCAGCGGTTTATGCTTCCGCTGCGGTCAACCCGGGAACAAGGCGGCAGAGTGCTCTGCCGCCCCTCACTGCCCCGTGTGTGCGGCGACTAAAAAGCCCGCCAATCACCAGATGGGGCAGGGGGGCTGCAAGCCTCTCGAATCTGAACCACTGTGCTGCGGCGCAGGATCTCTTCCTGCAAACCATGGCACAGTGGTCGATAGGTGTTGTCGTAGTCTCGGAGCCCTATTTTGTCCCTCCCCGTCCAAACTGGATGGGTGACCGGGACGGCTCCGTGGCAGTCGTCGGCTCCACAGCGGCTCATTCCCCGCCCTTGTCGCTAAGAGACAAGGGTACTGGATATGTTGCCGCCGATTGGGGGGGAATCACCATTTATGGTGTATATTTCTCCCCCAACCGGAGCTTGAACGACTTCGAGGTCTTCCTTAACAACTTGGAGGCCTCGATGCGGCGACTAGTGTCTGGGCACGTCCTCGTGCTGGGGGACTTCAACGCAAAGTCCATTGCGTGGGGTTCCCCTGCGACGGACGCCAGGGGCGAAGCCGTCGAGGAGTGGGCGGCGTCGGTGGGCCTCTGTTTGCTGAACAGGGGCTCCACCAACACGTGCGTGCGACAGCAGGGGGGGTCGATAGTGGACCTTTCGTTCGCTACCCCTGCAGTCGCCGCCCGAGTAAGGAACTGGTGTGTCCTGGAAGAGGTCGAGACGCTCTCGGATCATTTGTACATCCGATTCGAGCTCTCCCGGTCCCAGGACCCCTGTAGGGGTCACGCGGCGCGGCGCCCTTCCCGCTTCCCGCGGTGGGCTATCGCCAAGCTCGACAGGGACCTACTAGAGGAGGCGGCCATTATTTACTCTTGGCTGTCTCCGCAGGCCCCGACCGAGGAGGTCGACATGGGGGCTGGTCGCTTCTGCAATGCGATTACGCAGATTTGCGATGCGGCCATGCCCCGCGTTCGTGGTTGTCGGCCTCCAAGGAAGGAGGTCTACTGGTGGTCCCAGGAGTTGGCGGACCTCCGTGCGGCCTGTGTACGTGCCCGGAGGTCCCTCACCCGTAGTCGGCGACGTCACCGCGGGGTCGGTGAGGAGGTGGACCGGCTTCATGAGGAGTACCGAGAAGCTCGGAAAACTCTGAGGCTGGCCATCTGCCGCGCCAAGGATGCGTGTAGAGAGGAGATGCTGGAGAGTCTCGAGCGTGACCCCTGGGGTCGCCCTTATCGTGCGGTGCGTCAAAAGCTCCGCACGTCGGGCCCCCCCCCCTTACGGAGACTCTCCAGCCCAGCTTCCTGCAGGAAGTGGTCGAGGGCCTATTCCCGCAGCGGGCGGAGCACACACCCCCGTCGATGGCTGCATCAGCCGGAGACGACGGGGGCAGCGAGGTTGATGTTCCGCCCATCAGGGAATCGGAGTTGGGGGCGGCTGTTCTACGGATTCGATCCAAGAATACTGCCCCCGGGCCGGACGGGGTTCCAGCCCGAGTGATGGCCCGAGCTCTCGACTACATGTCGGACCACCTCAGGGTGGTGTTGGACGCTAGCCTGGCGTCCGGACGCTTCCCTGAGCGCTGGAAATGCAGGAAGCTGGTCCTGCTGCAGAAGCCGGGACGGCCTGCCGAATCGGTCGCGGCCTATAGGCCTATCGTGTTGTTGGACGAGGCGGGCAAACTTTTTGAGAGGGTGCTCTCTGCCCGCACCGCCGCCTCCGTCTGCGAGGAAGTAATCTCGCAGAAGGAGGCGGCGGAGAAGGCCCGGGAGGACGACCTCCACTCGGACCCGATCCGCCCCCAGCGAACCGGGCGGCGGAGGCGCGCTCACCTGCGCCTCATGCCGCCCTGAGTGTGGCCGCGGGTGGACGGGGTGGGTTTCCCCTCCACCCGCATTAGTTTGGCCAGCCGCGAGGGGGCGGCGTCCGCGTGTGCCGGACGTCGCCTAAAGAGAGGAAAATTTTGAGACGGGGCCCGCAACAGGACCGGGCCGGCGCTAGGAGGGGTCCGGATGTCTTAATAACAGCTGTTCCCGGATCCCTCCTATTACAGGCGCAGAGTGGCACACCGTGTGGTTTTAGTCGGTCCGAGTTCGACACACCACCCCGCCGCAAACCCCGGTGGGGTGACGGTCCGAGGGGATTTCCACACGTTAAAAAAAAAAAAAGAAAGGGTTTGTGTCAAGTTTACATATAAAATAAATAAAAACAACATATAAAATTACGTGCCCTGACTATCTGATTCAGCATCATTATGCCTGAATCGCTGGTGTTACAGACTTGAAATTTTGGTAGTTTATGCTTTTTATGTTGTGAGAACTCACTAATAAGGGATTTTTGGAAATTTTACCTCTAAGAGGTCAAAATAAGAGATGAACGGGTGTTCATCTCTTATTGGTGGTGGTGGTGTGGAGGTGGAGGTGTTTATAAGTTTGTCGTTATTAACAAAGTTAGAAACACGAAATAAAAAAAACAATCACGGGAGCGAAGCTTCGAGCAATACACTAGGTAAGTATATATGCCTGATGTAGGTAGGTCATCATAGATCGTCATGTAGGTAGTCATAGGTAAAAGGAGAACTCGATTTTTTATAAAGATCTACGTAATAAAAAGCCAAGTATTATAAGCCTTAAAATAACTAGAAAGCATAAAAAATAAGACTTATAAAAAAATCACAAAAGGGTAAGAAAAATATTCTCTACCAGGCATTTTTCACTACAAACTTTAATTTACTTAGCTATGCGCTTCCAATTTTATCAAAGGAAATTTTCCAAACACTACTTCGAGTTACAGATATGTGGAGCGGTCCTAAGCTTATAAATTTATCCATATAAAGGTTGCAGGATTCCGCGTGCACTTCCGACTAGCTTTAGGCATGTGCTCAAAGAGCTAGATCGCGATAACGCGGGCGGTGCCGTACACGTATAATGTTAGAGTGAAGAATTTATGTGTTTTAATTTAAGTTTCGATTGCTTGTTGGATTCGTTTCGTTGCGAAACGGAAAGCTGATTCCATTTTGATTTAAAATCTTACTCTGTAATGAAAATAGATTGCCGTACAAAAGAAAGTAAAATATGTCATGTATTTCTACAGATAGTTGTGCACTGGAATTTTTAACATATTAAGACAATTGTGAATTCGGCGTTTTATACTTAATTGTTTTTGATATGTATTTAGACATTACCAATCAATCATCGTTATCTATGTCTGCGATTTATAAATTTATAAAAATGTTTGTCTATGTTCAGACAGACTTTTGCAACTCCACGTGGCGAAGCCGAATAGGTTACCTTAAATACTGCAAATTACTCTTAAGTTGTAGATGTCTATGAGCCACCGACAGGACACAGGACAGGGCATGGTTGCTTAGATGAATACCGAATAGGATCAGACGCCAGGGGATCGCACAATGTCAGTACTGCGCACCCGACTGGGTCTCCACCTATCCCAGATGACTACTCTACTCTACTTTCTGCTGCAGATGCCTGCTCTGAACTATAAGTACTCTTAGTTTAATTCTCTAGACTTTTGATAGTATTAGATGTTAAGTTTTATTATAAATGCGTTTGTTACTTGTAACATTTTACATAAACCATCCAAAACCGTTGACCGCTCTCTCATATAGCCTAATGGCTAGCGGCTAAATCTTCACATGGTGTTTTACAGTCTCAGTCAATAGAAACCTCTAGTGGGTTTTATCGCAAAAGTACGGCTATTTATATGGCACAAATAATAAAGTTTTCAAATGTATTATTTTTCCTTTAAAACCTAAGTAACATGGTTGTGTTCTGACCGGATTCTTATTAATAATCAATCTTGTTTTCTGATCGGATTCTCATTAAAAATCAAAATAGTTCTTTGTATTAAGAATTTTTAACAGGTATAAATAGGTGAAGTTAGCTTGACCGTTTTTAAGCTAATTTACTATAAAGAATTCTCTATTCTTAGTACCTACCCATTCTTAAGCTAATTTCGGCTATTTTATTATAAAACTCCCACATTAGGCATATATCCTGTGTCGCGGGGGACTTAAATACATGAAATGGACCAAAAGAACACCCAGATTCAGAACAACAATTTGTGAATCTTTAAATTTAAAATGTCAGGCTTCGTCCTCAAGCGATTTTTTTTAAAGGCTTACTAGCAACCGAAATTTCTAGTATTCCCGTTAACCCCTCCAGCTGAGCTAAATTGCTTGTGTTACTTGTGTTAATTGTGTGTTAGGAGTGGGTTCACGTCGGTAGTGTACTGATCAGGATTCGAACCCACGACCTCTTGATCGCAAGTCCAATGCCTTAACCACTACACTACCGCCAGAGTGCATAGATACCTACCTTACGTGGTCACATCACTAAGTAAAAGTAATGCTGTAGCAGAAAAAAAAATGGCTGTAATGTACAAAAAGGACTACGCTTATTTTTTATGTATGCTCGAAAATCGACCAAACTTAAAGTTAGTGCCTTTTTTTTCAAATACATTTACGAAGAGGTATTATACACATCACATCACACATCAACAGCCTATGATAGTCCACTGCTGGACATAGGCCTCTCCTTAGAAAGGAGGTTTTGGCCTACTATACCACGCTGGCCAGACGGGTTGGTATAAGGTTTGTTTCAAGTTTTCCTTCTCTTTGCAGTGCCGTTGTCTTGCGTAGTTTTCTCCCTTAGTCGACTTTTACGACACCCATGGCCATGGGATGAATATGGGTGGTGACATTACGTATTCTTAATCCGTCACCACCCGGATGGTATTATATTATACAATACAGTCTAAATTAAAAAATAATTTATTCGTCCTTTCATATATATACATTGTACATACAGAAACGATTTAATATCATAATAAATACATGAAGTCATATCACAACAATAGAAATAATGAACCAGGAATAAAAAGAACTATTAATAAATAAGTCTTGTGATGGTTATAAAAGCTATAAGTAATATGGATCCGTAAACACCAGTAGCGTTATTCATGTATCCAAATCGTCTGGCTTGATGGATCATCTCCAAAATGGAGTCCATGACTTCTAAGTTGTTAGGTAGAATCTGTTCTGCCGGGAGCAGGAAGCCGTAAGTATTGTTTTCTCGTAGTTCATAGCAGTACACGAGAGGTACCCCCACAAATTCCTTGACCCAATCTATGGTACCACCAGTTGCGTGGTCTGAAAAAAGAATTTTATATCATGATACAGCCAATGCAAGTTCAATATAGTCTTGAAAAATGTTTATTGTTCGGAGGAAGTAGCGTGAGTATTGGAATCCAATATATACAACTGAAGCCACTCCTTAGCAGACAATAATCACTTGGTACTTAAATCTTCTTTTGCAACTAGGAATAGTAACCAACCAACCAACATTTCTAGAAACCATCTTGGTAGTTTTTATTTTGTGGATTTGCAGACTAAAGGAAAGATTTGTACCAATTATATCCTTTGAAGTAAACTTTACTATATTTATGAATAAGTGTGTAATTCTGTACACTTTAAACTTTATAAAAGTGACTTACATATAACCTCAGCGATGTTACCAGTGACGTATCGAGTCCCGAATCTAACTGATAAAGCACCCATAGCTCGCCGGCCAATATTTAGCTACAAAAAGAAACATTAAATGTTGTACAATGTGATTTTGTGTATATTTATTTTTCTTTTGTAACGCATAACTGCTCTGCAATTAATCAAGATAAATAAAACTTCGATAAACTCGAAATAAACATACCGCATCGTAATAATTATCTAAAGGTTCCGTTGTATTTCCAAACGGTAATAAAAGCATTTGACCAAATGAGTGGAAGGAAAGATATAATTCAAGTCGATCTCCTATAGAATTTATGTAAGTTGATAAAGTTCTGGTCTCTATTTCTGAAAAAGGTCCAAGACCAGCAAAAATATCTGAAGCAGGGTTGACAGAAGCTCCGGCAACTGTAAATGAACAATAATATCAACATACAAAAGTACAACCGATATTGTACAAAACCACTGGATTCAAAAGTGTATAATTGACACAAATAAAAAATTCAATATTGTGAAACTGTATAAAGAGCGGTCCTATCCTGGCCTTATCATTTAATTTAATCATTTCATTTCAAAAATAGTTTAATTAAATGAGAGTAATACAAAAAGTACTAAGTGATCAAACAGTCGCACATATTAAAGAAGATTTAGAAAGATCAATTTTAAGAACATTGAAATTAAAAAAGTAATGGATTGTGTGAACAGATTTCATTACTTATGTTACTTGGATTTGAGAAAAAGAAAAATATAATCTATAGTATCGTTATTGGAATCTTTATATCAGTGCTGTATAAATATACTGCAATGACATAAAGCTACGTTTAAATATTTTAATTTATTGATTATTATTATTGTCATGTAAACTCAAGAATAAGTTTTTCACAATAATAGAGAACCGATAAACCCTAGACAATAAATAACTTATAACCTAAATATTACAGTAATGTAATTAATGTATTATAAAACAAATACTAAAAGAATATTTTAAAACAAAAACATAATAAATTAAACTTACCTAACCAATTACTATTCCAATTTCTGTTTAAGTCTACACCAAAGTGTTGACCAATAGGACGTCTATTCTTACGCCACATTCTATTCTATAAACAAATAAAGACAGTGGGTAATATTGTTATCTTTATGTATTTGGTAAAAGAAAAAATATTAAAAAAAATACTTACAAATCTATGGCTATAATCATATCCATCAGGGTTAGTTATTGGGAAAATGTACCAGTCAAAATCACGAGCCGCTGCACGAGTTTCTGCATCATCGCTAGTCAGTAGTTCATTTGCAATGAAGTTAACTGTGGCTATCGATATCCATTCCCTTGCGTGTAGACCACCCTCAACAAAAATAGCTTTTCTACCAGAACCGTGTGAAATTCTCAATCCCTTTATTTGTCGACCTTCATGTGTTCTACCTCCAATTACAATTGTAGCTACTTGCGGAAAGAGGGCTGCTAAATCGTCAATCCATGAGTAGACACTATCTAGATCATAATACCGATCCCATGTCATATTCCCGGCAGCATTTCTTGTATACGTGCTTACTACTTCTTTGTCTATAGATCTGTAAAATGTTATTAGTTTCACAATTATGTCTAGTTGAAGTAAACAAGTTTAAGTGTAATAAGTGTATAAATTATGTTACATTACTCGTGCGGCAAGAGTGTGCGCTCATGGTCAACATGGGAGGGAGCCGTAGTTTCTGATCGACGATGACTAGGTCGTGATATTGATCGACCACCCCGCAATGGCAGAGAGGTTTAAGTTGGTCTGATTAAGGAGGTTCGACATTGGTTTTATTACTGTAGATGTTATCTTAAATCTTCTGTCAAGGGCGTAGAGGTTATTTAGGCTCATTTCGAACAGCTTCCCTGTGCAGTACAGAATCCTTTTTGACAGACTTAACTAACTCACGTTCTATTATAGACAGGGCATTGAACGTCGCAAATTCGACCAATTTGTAAATGCGGCGATCCCTCACATATATATTTTACTATGCCCTGCACAGTAAACACCGGAGCACTTGACTTCCGTGTGACCAGTTGCCAGACTCTTAAGATAGAATAGTACCAAACCCAACAAGATCCTTGCCTCGTTCGAAAAAAGTGGAAAAGTTGGCAAAAGTGATCAGACAACTGGGTCTATCGCTATGCTAATTCAGCATGAGTGACTCTACTTATCGGCATGCCAAAAGATCCATGTCAGTCATGAAGACTGAGAGTCTTCATGAGAGAGAACGAGAGTCAAAAGGATACACTTGAAGAGATATTCTTGCCACTAGCGTGATACAATAAAATTTAGATTAACTGTAGAGGTTAATTAGTACTCGAACAAGCAGTATTAATAGATTTAATTTTAAAATATTCTATTCAAAATAAATGCAGCTGTTACGCAAACATTACAATATTTTAGAGTTGGCTATAAACAAATTGGACTTACAAATTAAGACTCATACTCACTCTTGAATGTTGGACGTAACAATTTCAAAGTCCATGTTATTACTTTTAACAAAATTTTCAAGTTCAGCCTTGTTTGCAGGGCTTGATAATATATTTACGTATGTTGCGGAGGGTACTGGACTATTCCAGAAATCATATCTCGCATCATTGTCTTGAAGATCTTGGAGTAATTTTATGTGATTTAAACTTTTTGGTTGTATTTTGTACAAAGTATAATCGTCATACCGAATTTTTTCACTGAACACATTTGGTAAAATTAAAATAAAACCTAACAGAATAAATTTTAACATGATTAAATTACTTCTCACCATTACAGCAAAACTGAATCTGTTAAGTGTACTCTTGATAATTTTGTATCAATAAATGAATAATCAGTAATCGGGATAAGTAGAGCAAATTTATCAAAACTTTAAGTAACAGATACGGAGTGGGGCTGCCTTATGACAATATTTTTTTGACAGTGGTCCCTTGTTATTGAATATAAATTAAATATTAAAAATAGCCACAGATAACATGAAAAACTATTTAAAAAAAATTACGAGGCGATATGATAAATTGACGAATTAAATAAATGTTGTGAGAAAGAGCCATTACTAGGGTGAAATCAGAGAAAATCGGCCGGATTGGTAAAAAACTGGTGAATCTTCCTTCTGGAACTTGTGCATTCTGCCAAGGCTGTCCAGGGGAATTTTCGTAGTTAATCCCTTCCTCGCCTGCAGATGGGAGATAATTCGTTGGCCCATGTTTCTAAGAAAAATGGCAATCTTCTAGGCGGACTCTTTGTATCCAACTTTACTATAGATGACGGGCGAAAGTACTGCTGATCCCGTCATTCTGAAGACATGTGCTTCAGAGTTGCAGAGTTGGCACCGGTATTAACGCGCCCTTTTTCGATTCTCCTACTCCCTAGGCATCGTCCCAAGCACTTGGAAAGTAGCCTTTATGCACCGGATCCCTAAAAAGTTGACCGCTCGGATTCATTAAACTACAAGCCTTCAGATATAACCCTCTTGTTCTCTAAGCTTATGGAATCCAAACAATCCCTGCCAACTCCTCCGGTACTTAGAAAATTAACAGCTACTCAATGACCTGAATATGGTTTTCGTCGGGGTCGATCAGCTAGTGATCTTCTCGTTTGACTGGGAGAGGCTAGTGCTAGTGGTCTTCCTTGTAGACAGAAGCATTAAGGTCGTTATCAACGATGCATGCTCCGATTTCAAATTTATAAATGCTGGTGTCCCGCAAGGCAGTGTGCCAACCATACTGTTTTTTCTGCATATCAATGATGCAGATGCAGATGATAGTACGGGAGATGTTTTTTCATACCGGCCATCCCAATAGCTCTTGGGAAAACGTCATCGAAGTCAAAACAAACTTGTGTCTGAAATTGAAAATGAACAATAACAATCGCCCAAGATATTTAGTCATAAGGAAGTCTCCACTTCATGTCTTTGTTCCTATGAGTTTAGATTAATTAAATTAATCTTTGCCGATCGTTGTCAATAAATATCAACCCGATAATAAATTATTATTTTTCGATAACGTATTTTTTTTATCATGTATTTAATAGTAAGCTTGTAATCTATTACTGGTGACGTATTAATTATATTGCCACTGCAAATACTTATAGCATATAAATACAAACGAACTGGCTCGTGCCTTTGGAAATAATAGACAACCAGTTTACTTTTGTTTATTTTTCGATTGATTGGTCTTGAAAAGATTACTTTTTCTCAACTTCGACTAGCCCTTTGGTCTAGTCTAGTGGTTAGTGATCCTCACTGCTAAGCCAGAAGTCTGAGTGTAATTTATATTTAATATGTATGTATTTCCATGTCGTAACCGATACGACATGGAACGGTCCATTGGAAGACCGTAGTAGAGGTAGGCCAATGGAAAGATGGCTCGACGCAATTCTGGAGATAGCGGGCGACAACTGGACGTAAAAGGCTATGGACAGAGACAAGTGGGCAAAAATGGAGGAGACCTTTACTCAGGAGGGAGGTCCTTAATACTATCAATGACTGACAAAAAGAAAGATAATAATAATAATAGATAATGCAATACATTAATGAAATTAGATACGAAATAACCGGTGTAAAATAACAATAACAATAACAATAAATAATACTCATATATGGATGTTAATTTAAATGTAAAAGGCGTTTTTATATTGTTTTTATATTTTTAAATATCTTATTTATATTCAAGTGAAGAATTAAATTGAATGGAAATCAAATATTGTAAATGTAATTGTAGATAGGTATGTATATTTTATTGTAATTGCATTTTATTAAGGAATAAACAAGGCTTAAAATAATTAAATAAATGTATGTATTTAGAAATATAAATGTATGTTTATCAGACGTGGAGCTACCATAGTACAGGCTCTGTCTAGTTTGGGTTATTATATAATATTTTCCTTACCGCAATTTAATTTCTTCCTATAACCCGTCTAAAAATGATCATATTCCTTAAGAGGTATGATGACAGACAGTCGGTTCTCTCAATAGGAATGTCCTTAGGAGAGAGTCACACTTCGGCTGGTATGGGCGGGCTCGAGCATAGAGACGCAATCATTTACTTCGTTTGACCGAGTGAGTGAAGTTATTGACCAATCCCACCACTAAAATTGGGGGGAGGAGACTCAGATGGCAGCGTAAGTCACCATGATTGACCTATCTGCTCGTTTGTCATTACTTATAATGAAACATTTTAAGAAAGTATGTTAAGTTTTTTATTATTAGCTGTTTAATAATATTAATTCTATGAGAGAAGCCGAAAATCGATCTAAGTAGCGCGCAATGGGAGAGGCCTATATTAAGCAGTGGACTGCGAAAGGTCGACGATGATATTTAAAAAAAAATGCCAAAGATACTATACTATATGTACATTTGTTCATACTTTTATTTGACATTTATAAAATCAGTTTGAATAACAAACCCACGATCAACAAAGTAGGAATTTTTATCGCATTTCCAGCATTCATGTATCCAAATCGCTTTGCCTGGTAAATCATTTCTACCAAGGAGTCCATTACCTCTTCACTGGTAGGAAGGATCTGCTCTGGAGGCAACAAGTGACCGTAGACCCCACGATCTCGAAGCTCATAGCAGTAAACCAGAGGCACGCGTAAATATTCTTTTACCCAATCTATGCTGCCTCCTGTGGCCAAGTCTTAAAAAAAAGGTTATTGAGATTAACTATGAGATGATATGTATATGATAGTCGTTTTAGTTGATCGTCACTTAGCCGTTTAAGAGACCTGCCATAAAATGGAATGGATGAATAGTCTTTACAATGTTATTGCGGCAACCTTATTTTTTTCTTTTAAAGAGACAACTCCCGTAATAGTAACATATCCTGTGTCGCGGAGGACTTTACAAGCAATTATGAAACGGAGACGAAAAACACCCAGAATCAGAACAATAATTTGTGGAACACACAAAGTGTTGTCCCATGTAGGATCGAACCCACAGCACTCAGTCCAGTACGAAGCGGCGTACGCCGTCTGTGTAGTCGAGTAAATAATATTAGGAAAATAAAAGAAATAAAAGATAAATAAAATGAGGAAAGAGGATGATGCTGACACTTTATACGATCACGGCTCTTATCTAAACATCACTCTATCTCTCTACGTTCTAAATTAAAGTGTAAAGATATGTCTTGCTTTTAAAGCTTAGGTATGTAATTTCATAAACCACTTACATATGGCTTCAGCTATATTGCCCGTTGTATATTGAGTTCCATATCTCACCGATAAAGCTCCCATGGCTCGTCTGCCAATGTTCATCTACAACCAGTAGGTATTATAATCACATGATTAAAGTAAGTTAAATAAAAGGTAGACGCCACAGTGAAGTATACAAAACCTGCACGTGGATTAAAGTATAATTTAAAAAAAAAAGCAACATACCGCGTCGTGGTAGTTATCTAAAGGTTCCGTCGTATTTCCATAAGGTAATAGAAGTAATTGTCCAGCAGAGTGGAAGGACAGGTACAGATCGATTCTGTCAGCCATGTTTGTGATATACTCGGATAGAGTCCTTGTTTCTACTTCAGAGAATGGTCCGCGCCCGGCAAAATTGTTAGATGATGAATTAGAACTTGTGCCTGGGCCTGTCAAAAAAATATTTTTATATATTTTAACATAAACAGGCTGCTGCGTATTAAAATACGAACAAATAGAGGTAAATACACACCTAAATACAGCTTCGTTAGATTCAATTCTATCGAAAGACACATCTACAATTACATACTAAATATGGAAACACCTGGACCAAATAATAACAAAAAAAAAACAAAAACGTGCGTTACCTAGCCAGTTACTGTTCCAGTTTCTGTTTAAATCCACACCAATATCATTTCCGTAGGGTGCTCTATTCTTACGCCATAATCTGTACTATAGAAAAAAAAATAAAAAAAATAATACAATAAAATCCTAATCGTTTTTTCAGCTACCTTTTGTTGGAAAATGTGAAAATCGAAATATGTTTTTTAAAGACAAGTGAGTCTGTTAACATATGTCAAAACAAATTATTTGTGAAAATCAATAAAACATTATGAAATTTTAGGATCAATGAAAATTGCACTGCAATGATTACCGTAACCGGATTACCTACAAATTATATCATTATCGTCAAATACACATAGTATGACATAATATTTGTTTTTTTTTCCCGCATTTTATTCATCTAAATTAAAGAGAGTACACTAGATTTAATGCCAAATATTAAGTGTAACTATTGAAAATATAACTCCTATAACCTAAGAACGTATTTATACTATTTTACCAGTGCAGTAGCAGCTATGGTAAATAGGATCTTAAGTGTTACAGCATTTTCGCAGTTTTACATCCTTTATTTTACTGTCGTGTTCTCATACTCGTATGTATTTGTAACTAATTATTTGTTAATTATATATACGAGTATACAGAATGTATGGGACTGTGTAACGAATACTAAAATATTGTATTCAGATCATCATTCTGAGTCGAAAACACTGGATTTTCTGCCCAAAAATTCATCATTAAAAAATAACTTTTTGGGGTGAAAAATGGTATCAGAGTAAACCAAATATTTCAATTATTTTTTTTCAAAAACTGCAAGGTAATTAAACAAATAGCCGAATCTAAAGCGGCCTTCCCCCCGGCCGCCTGCTTGTGTGTGCGTAGACTGTTTGCATGGAATACAAATGTAGTTATTACTATACTATAGTTACTATACTATAGTTACTATACTATAGTTGTACGATACCTACGGGGAATGACCCTAACATTTGACAGTTGATTGCATAAAGCTTTTAATTTTCCGACAGAAAATTCCAATGATTTTAGACCCTGAATGATGGTCTTAATACACTATTTCAGTATTCGTTACAAACTGAATATCATCAAAATTAGAAGTAGTACTTTTAATTATTATATTATTTACCCCCACATGCGTCCAAACGTAACCGTCAGGATTGGTGACAGGAAAGATGTACCAGTCATAATCACGAGCTACCGCTTTTACTTCTTCATCATCACTTGTTAACAGCTCATTAATGATGAAATTAGTAGTTGCTGGTGATATCCATTCCCTTGAGTGAATTCCACTTTCTATAAAAACAGCTCTTTTACCAGCTCCGTGAGAGATACGAATGCCTTTTATGTCACGACCTTCATGTGATCTGCCGCCAATTATTATAGAAGCTGTATCAGGATGAGCTAACACCATGTCATCAAGCCAAGTATTTATATCTTCTAAAGTATAGTAGGAATCCCATTGCATGCTTCTGATGTCGTTTCTTGTGTAGTGTTTTTTGGTTTCTTTGTCTATGAATCTGAAATATTTGTCAGAGTTCTTGTTGAATATGCCAACTATTATTTTTACCTACAAAACAAAATGTACAGAGATATCCAATTTTTGTTTATCCGTACTAATTTTATAAATGTAAAAGTATCTCTCTAAATATGCTTGTCCGTCTATCTGTATTTTGTTTAGGTAGCGACATATATAGTATTAAATTTATTCGATGAATTTTGGTGTAGGCATAAGTAAAACCTTGGAAAAGGGATGTCTATATGAAATAGAACTAGAAGAAACTTGATGAAGAGTTCACCTAGTTTCTTCTCCCATTTTATTAAGATCCCAAGGTAACTACAGAACATGTTTTGCTTAAATTTAAAATTTGTAGGTACATAATTGTTCATAAATTAAAGTAATTTTTTGCAATGACGAAAACTTTACCTAGTAAAGAACTGAAAATGAGTTTTTGTCGACTTAGTGACAGTTAAATATTTATGACCTAGAAAAAAAAGGAATTTTTTGGTTGTAAAATATTTAATTATATATTTAGAACAAAATACTTACTCTTGGATATTCTCCAAAGTAATCTCAAAATCAATTCCAGCACCGCTTAAAAAGTTTTCCAGGTCCGATTTCATGTCAGGTTTAGACAGAATATTAACATATTGAGATAGAAGAATTTCATCCCAAAAATCGTATTCTTTAAACGTTTCTTTTAAATCTGCCAGATATTCAACTTGTTTCCCATTTTTTGGAACCACTTTGTATAAAGTATAATTGTCGAAACGAATTTTTTCAGAGAAAACTAAAGTGAATAGAAATATCAGAGAAATTAGTCTGATCAACATTTTAAGATCTTTGCAGTAGCACAGACAGTCTCATAATAAATGAATAAATGTAGACGAGGACAGAAAAGTTTCCTAACACTATAAAGTAATATAAAGGCAGTATATTTTTATGGTAGTCATAATATTATAATAAATGGTTGGTGTGAGTGTTAAGCATGCATTTTGTTTTGTACTTATGTACTTAGTACCTGATTTTATCTTTACCTAAAGGTTAATTATCGACTGCTTTTAATTTTATTAACCATTAGGTTCATCTGATGGTGAGTGATTACCTCCGCCCATAAACGCCTGCAACTCAGGCTCAAAATTATGAAAAGGCTAAGGGTAAATGAAAATTATGATACTGAGATTCTATTATTTGAGAAACAGGCTAGAGATTTGGTTCGGGATATATAAAGTTTAATGTCTAACGCTGTTTATGCAATACAGAGATTACGAGGAAGGCTTTAAGTAGAGAAAGTTAAGCAACTAAGGCTAAGATATTGATAAAAAATAATGAGAGTAGAATCTTGGACTCAATAATTGAGACATATATCTTCTTTATAATAATATGTAACCGTAACCGAGGAGGTCGAGGACGACCTCCTTTGACATGGTCGACCAGTATGACGAAGATTCTGCAGAAGGAGAATTTATCCGATTCAACAACACTTTGCAGAATGTCTTTACGCCGTGAAATAAGGAATCCTACCTAAAGTTGGAAAAGACTAGAAAGAAAAAAAGAGCAATGTTTTGTTTTATACTACTCTATCATTGACAGGCTAGTTGACGTTGGTCTAGTGCTTAGTGACCCTGCTAAGACAGAGGTCGTGAGTTTGTTAATATATAAGTTATAAGCTAACTTCAGCAGTCTGGTCATCATAGCACAGGCTCTGCCTAGTTTGGGATCAGACGGTCGTGTGTGAGATCATCATCATCATCATCAGCCTATCGCAGTCCACTGCTGGACATAGGCCTCTCCCATTGCACGCCACTTGATTGATTTTGTGTGTGAGATATTTGAGGTTATTATTATGATTCAAATTTTTGGTGTTCATTCCCTTTCTACTCATATATTTTTTCACACGATCCGATATCTCTTGAAATATAGGTACCAATACTCACCAGTCTTAAAACAAACGCTTACGAATTTTTTGTGTTGCTTTATACCTATTGATGATATAAATTACAATAAGGAGTGCAAAGTAAAACAATAAAATTACCTTGAATTTAGGTTTAAAAAGGATTAATTTCCATCAAAACCAAAGTATAAAATTTATTACTTCACTATCTTTATAGCGAGTTTAATATTTCATTGCCGTAGTGATGATCATATTCCTTAAGAGTTTCGAGAAATACTAGGCTGTACAAACAATCTATTTTTGATGGTATGCTGATATTGAAATGATTTATCTGTTTTATAACAATTATTGATTTTAATTATGCGGATAAAGCACTATTACTTAATTGATTAGGTTTGGGATCGACTTCTTTATGGAGTATTAATGTTTATTTGAGAGAAATGTGTAATCCTGAAATCTAGTCCAAACATATAATAATAATACTTTACCTCTTTATTGTGCCGCACGGATAACACAAAGAGTACAACAAATAAAGCAGTATTTTATGTCTAATATAACGCCTCACACTGTAACATTATAGTATTTTACAGGAAACCATGAGATGGACAATAATGTTGAAAATGATATTAGGGTAGTATATGGTGGACTTTCAGTACATAGTTAACAAACGAATATAAAAATAACGATGAAGAAATGGGTACAATAATGTATAAATAAATATACATATTTACACGTTATTCAAAATTATAAATTATAAGATTATCGTTTAATTACATATAAATTAGGAATATTATCTTGTACTTAATGGTAAGCATGTAATCCACTACAGATAATATTATATATTGATTAATTGATTCTTGCAAATACCTTATTTGTTAAACCTTATTTATAAAAAAAGTAAGGTTCCAATAATCATTCCTGTAGCCAACAGCCTTTAATAGTCCACTGCTGGACATAGGCCTCCCCTTTGAAAGGAGGTTTTGGCCTACTATACTACGCTGGCCAGACGGGTCGGTATAGGGTTTGTTTCAAGTTTTCCTTCTCTCTGCAGTGTTGTTGTCCTGCGTAGTTTTCTCCCTTAGTCGCCTCTTACGACACCCACGGGATGAATAGGGGTGGTGACACTCTGTATTCGTAATCCGTCACCACACGGACACACACAAATATAAAAGTAGAATAAATAATTTGAATATAAAAAAAAACAATCAGTCTTATTATAATTATAATAAAATATATTTGATTTATAATTAAAAAATTGAACTCTTATTTAAATTTAAATAACAGACATTAGTTTTTCATTACGTTTTGCTTCAGTAGTCTCACCAACGATTGCTATTTGCAAATGCTATAAATACAGGAAGTCAAGCTCGGACAAAAACGAAAGGAATGCTGCAAGGATTTTGACATTGATTATTTTTTTATAAATTTGAAAAAGGCTACCTAATGGCCCTCTCCTATTAACCGTTTAGATTAAACGAGGTATACGGTTACGTGACTTAACCTCTTCGAGCTAATACAATGTCTTAGTCCTATTGCGAGAGTTACGGTATCACTTACTCTAGCTCCCTTATTATATCTATCTTTCTTTCTTTATTCCTTATTCCTAAGGAGAATCAGGTTCAGGCAGGTGGTCGACCACAAAAGAAATCAACCAACTCCTTCTTCAATGTTGCAGGTTGCGCCGAAACCAGATAACATTTGGATAGGAGCACGTAGACGATGATGAAAATTATTTTGTTATCAGTCTACTGATAATATTTTACAAATATTTTTATTTTCCATTATTTTTATTGACATATTGTAAAATAATTGCCGTAAAGTTAATTGCTGTAACAAATATTCAGTTCGATCAAGATAAGTATGTATATCAGGGTGATGATATGTCAGGTTTTAATCACGTGACGATAATAAAAATAATTACAATAACATCTATTCACAAAGACAGATTATTAAACAGCTGTAGTGATCTTGTCGATGTGCCCTCTGACTCACTTAGTAGGTTCAGAATTGCTAATTACAAAGTCTTGTGAAAGCGTCCGTGTTTCTGGCCCGCTATAGTTCCGGCTTTGTAACTTGGATTTTCAGATTTTTTTTTTTGTATAAAAGTAATCATTATGTTCAGTGTTTAAGTATTAATGTAGTTTAAGATATGTTGTTAACAAATACGACCAAGTAGTGCATGATGTGCTTACCTATAAGAAATTGTTACATTATAGGTTATACTCGTAAGTCTATTAAATGCATCTGATGTCTTTGTATCAGTGTTTATAATTGTTGGTGAGCCAAATAAGAAAAAAATATCTCGATATTACGAAACATTTAAATCTAAATACGATCAATTCCGTACCTCAGAATGGATGTAGATTTCTACACACACGGATACGTAGCATCAAAAAGTTCTGCATCAACTCATTAACAGCGTCGTTATCTTAAAACTCTTGCAACATGTTGGGTAGACTATAAAAAACTTATGACTCGGTTAGATTCTAGACATACATATAATGACATGGTTTTCAGATGGATGAAACTCACAGATTCAACAAGACAAGGTCTTTGTCTACCACTGAAAAGAGTGTTTAGGTATATCACAGTCATTGGGAGTACCAGAATCTAATATGAAACAAGCGCTGCAGAAACGCTTTTTAGGTCGTCTAAAAAAGTACTTTAAAGTCTTTTGTCGAAGAGTAATAAAGTGTAAGCTGCAACGATTGGCCGCCGATTTAGAATTGGATTGGATTTAGATAGATTCAGACAGAAATAGATGCCCTGAGTTCTGAATGCACTACCCACGTTCATCAGTTATGAAATTGTATGTCCTATGAAAATTTGGTGGTCGCGGATTTCAGACACTGCACAATCATCGAAAATACTATTTAAGGGAATAAGTTCTTCATACTGATGTAGGAGTGCATCGGAATGAGGTTGCAGCAGATACCGGAGTAACTCCACACAATCTAGCTACAGAGTACTTGGTATATATATAATCAGTTTGATCGAAGGGAAGTATGGAAGGGCAAAGAGCTCCATGGTTGAATTTATTTGGCCCTAATTGCAGATATACATTAAAGAATATGTCCGTCATCTACGATGAATTCTTAAAAGAAACCAAAGGTTTTATCTGCGCATTTACGGATGAAATTATTATGACAAAGAACTATATATTATCTTGAAAGATGGTGCGGTTGATATTTATCGGGTATGCCACCGAGAGAATCCATCAGGAATAATATATCTGGTAATTCTTGTCTCACTAAAGGTAAATATTTGCACAAACACAACAAAGTAGCCAGGATTGTACACCAACAACTAAACCCTGACACAGAACAAATGATCGTGCTCATCATACGATTATTGTCAGGTGGGAATCAAATCCACAACCTTTGGTTTAGTATTTTAGGATCACCAACTTTGACTAATAGGCCTTTAAAATATACGATACGATTTGTTTCCGGATATCCGTATAACTCTACTACCTAATACCTAATAGTAAATTATCAGTTATGTTACGTTTAACAATGTGAATAAAATACTTAAACAAAATTCATTTCTCACCAGAATTTTAATAGATATTTACAGAAACATTTTCATTACTAGACCAACGATCAATAGAGCAGAAACTTTTGTCGCATTCCCATTGTTCATATAACCCAATCTTCTTGCCTGTAGAATCATTTCAACTAAAGAGTCCATGACCTCTTCACTCGTAGGACGAATCTGTTCTGGAGGCAGCAAGTGACCGTAAACTCCGCGATCACGAAGCTCATAGCAGTAAACCAGGGGCACGTGTAAGTGTTCTTTTATCCAGTCGATACTGGTTCCTGTTGCGTAGTCTGAAATGAATAGTTCACTTGTTTTCATTAACTATGATGTATTTACGTGATTTCTGACACGTATGCCACGCACGTCTTGTGTTTTACTTTTTACATTTGTTGTTTTTTTTATAACCACGATTATCCTCAGAACATTTTTATAATAATAATATAATTATGTATAACATTGAATTATAATGTAAATGTGTCTTGTCTAATTTTTAGATAATAAATAGTTAATAATTTGTCAGACAAGAATATTTTCTTTTTTTAAACATTTAAGAGCGCGACTTTTGTATAGTCTGGATTTTTTTAAGGAATTTCATAAGCCACTTACATATGGCTTCAGCTATATTTCCCGTTGTATATTGAGTTCCATATCTCACTGATAAAGCTCCCATGGCTCGTCTGCCAATTTTCATCTATAACCAATTTTATAATTACAGTATTTAGTATTTAAGTACAATGCTTATTAGAACAATAGCTACTAAACTTCTTTTTAAATGAATCAAATTGTCTAAAATAGACACATCAAAATCATTTAGAGTCAAAGTCATAAAAAACATAAACACCACTCACCACATTCACTTACACACACTACTCCACATACAAACTACATTATTGCTATCTGTTTAGCTATATTTGGGATGCACTATATTATGTATATTCATACAGAATGTTTACTCTTGCTGTGTATGTACCTTCAATTAATTGTGTACTTCGTAATTGGCGTATTGTTCGACTGTTATTATGTAAACTATATACTGTCAGCTGTGAAGAACCTAAGTATTAAATAAATAAATAAATAAATATATGCACATCCCTAAGCTACAAATCAATTAGCATTTTTGTAGGAAGTACCGCATCATAGTAGTTATCCAAAGGATCCGTCGTATTTCCATAAGGTATTAGAAGTAATTGCCCTGAGGAGTGGAAGGATAGGTACAGATCGATTCTGTCAGCCATGTTTTTGATGAACTCAGATAGTGTCCTTGTTTCTACTTCAGAGAAAGGTCCGCGCCCAGCGAATGTGTTGGATAATGAATTAGAGCTTGTTCCAAGGCCTGTTAAAAAAGGAATTTGTTAGATGTTTACGTGAGAGAGATGATGAGATGAGATGAGAATATATTAGATCATTTAGCACAAAATTCTGATGACAATGTGAAATTAATATTCCGTAATCACTTACTGATTGTTACAAGTTTATATTACAAGTATATATTATATAATTTTTAGGACACAAGGCACCTTTCATGCGAAACAGATACTGTTTCCGAGATATAAATATTACCTTTTTGATGGCCTAAAATCTACAATGATACACAAAATCTACAATTTTTTTAATTTACGTTGACGGTTGAAATATAATATATTGTATATATTATTATTTATAATATAAAATATGTAGAAACACCACAGTCAACGTAAATAGAATTAATGTTCAAAATAACAACTATAATACAAAAATGTACGTTACCTAACCAGTTACTGTTCCAGTTTCTGTTTAAATCCACGCCAATATTATTTCCGTAGGGAACTCTATTTTTACGCCATAATCTGTACTATAGAAGAAATAAAAAATAAACATAAAAAGCAGAACCGTTATAATCTAAATTCGATTTTTGCGGCAAAAAATATTCTTTAGTAATTATATTTAGAAGAGGTAAAACTTTTTAAAGAGCCTCTTCTCTTTAAAAAGTTTAGCAGTAATTTTGTAGGTAGGTAAGGTTGTTATTATGTTGATTACTTATTTATCGAAATTGGTTTACTTTGGATCTGCGGCTAGTCGGGGACGCAGGAGCTAGGAGTGTGTGGTGTTTCCACTAAAAACTACCCCGACAGCCGCTCTCAGGCACCCTGCTCTGGGGAGGACCTGTACCATGCTATTTCAGCCTTCCCCCCCTCCCCCCCCCCCCGAATCGACGCCGCGCCTAGTCAGGTCCTATCTATACCTATATAATCAATCCCGATCCCGTTCAGGGGTCTCTTTCTGGAGCATTACAGCTTCACAGAAAGAGACCGATGCGCCCCAGCCCTCCTCAGGCGCCAGCATAGCAGCAATAATTACTGGGGGGAAACTTGTAAATTAGCCTAGCATTTGTTTTATAAAAGCCGATATACGAAAATTCGATTCAGGTTGTGATAAAGATGGAACAATAGATCTGTTCAAAATTTAGCATAATAAAAACACCTACATATGTTACATAGTACGAGTACCATGCTTAAACCATTCTGCTACTAGGAGGTTATTAATTCATCTGTATATCTTTTTTTGTATGTTTCGTAGCTGGTTATTAACGGTAGTCCAGTTCTAGCATTGTCTTTGTTTTACATATGTGTACTTATTTGTGTATTGATTACTAGCTTCTTTTTATACATTTTATTTGTTACTCACCCCCACATGGGTCCAAACGTAGCCGTCAGGATTGGTAACAGGAAAAATGTACCAGTCATAATCATTTGCTATCATTTTCACTTCTTCATCATCACTTGTTAACAGCTCATTAATGATGAAATTAGTAGTTGCTGGTGATATCCATTCCCTTGCGTGAATTCCACTTTCTATGAAAACAGCTCTTTTACCAGCTCCATGAGAGATACGAATTCCTTTTATGTCCCGACCTTCATGTGATCTGCCGCCAATTATTATAGAAGCTGTATCAGGATGAGCTAACACCATGTCATCAAGCCAAGTATTTATATCTTCTAAAGTATAGTAAGAATCCCATTGCATGCTTCTGATGTCGTTTCTTGTGTAGTGTTTTTTGGTTTCTTTGTCTATGACTCTGAAATATTTGGTACAACACATATTGAATAAGACATACATACATATATGTTTAAATATTACCTATGATACTAAAACCTTAAGAGTTTATAGGAAACATAAACCTTGAAGATAACAATTTAAGGTATCAAAATTATATGGTATTTCGATCCTTTGTTAAGTAAAAATTCGTAATTTCCGTACTGTTTTGGTAAGCATGGTGTACATTTATTGGAGTGCTCGGGTAGACCTTGTGCTTCTAACTAATGACAGCTAGGTCCAGCAACAGCTATTCGAAACAGCTTGCGCTTGCGATAGAAGCTTGGGGCGAGCATTACACAAACAATAAATGTAAATGACAAACAAGAAATTATATACTATGCTTTTTTTCTTATTTAATACCACTATTTAAAACATAGTTAAATATTATTTTGTCTGTTTCTTAAAGTAGAGCCAACATTTATCAATAAAGATATAACAAAATAAGAGACTAGTTGAACTAGAACTCTAATTAGATCGGGGGAAAATTACGAATTATGTTATAACAAATTCAAACTTAATACTAATTATAATCCGTGGTAAAGTTAATAAGATATTATCTGTTATCAAAATAAACCACTAAATATATTATTTTTTTAAGAACTCAAAATAACTTTACACCGACTGAGCGATAGTTACGTATTAATACATAAAAAAAGTAATACATAATTTTATATTGTGTAAAAAATACTTACTCTTGTATATTCTCCAAAGTAATCTCAAAATCAATTCCAGCACCGCTCAAAAAGTTTTCCAAGTCAGATTTCATGTCAGGTTTAGACAAAATATTAACATTTTGTGATACAAGAATTTCATCCCAAAAATCGTATTCTTCAAACGTTTCTTTCAAACCTTCAAGAAATCGGGCATGTTCTACATTTTTTGGTAACACTTTGTACAAAGAGTAATTGTCAAAACGAAATTTTTCAGAGTAAACAAAAGTAAATAGAATTGTCAGAGAAATTAATCTGATTAACATTTTTGGATCTTTGCAGTAGAGAAGACAGTTTTAGAATAAATGAGAATGAGTTATGTTATTGTTGTTATGAAAATTTTTGTTACACTATAAAGTTTTATCAAGACAATATTTTTTTATCACAGCTGTACATAAAATAATAAACTGTTAGTTTAAATTATAAATGTTAAGTGAGTCATTAACCTGTACTTTTTATCTTAGCATGAGCATTGTAAGTTTATTATAAGAGGCGACTAAGGGAGCAAACTACGCAGGACAACAGCACTGCAGACAGCACAGCACTGCACAAACCCTTTTTTTTTTTAACGTGTGGAAATCCCCTCGGACCGTCACCCCACCGGGGTTTGCGGCGGGGTGGTGTGTCGGACTCGGACCGACTAAAACCACACGGTGTGCCACTCTGCGCCTGTAATAGGAGGGATCCGGGAACAGCTGTTATTAAGACATCCGGACCACTGCACAAACCCTATACTAACCCGTCTGTCCAGCGTGGTATAGTAGGCCAAAACCTCCTTTCTAAGGCGAGGCGTATGTCTAGCAGTGGACTATTAAAGGCTGTTGATGATGATGATGATGTGCATTGTAAACTTTTTTGTTTTTGTTTCTTATATTGGATCTAATCATTTGTCTTTTTTCTGCTTACTTGATGTTGATATTCATATCTTCTTTTACACGTCTATCCGTTGTTATGTAGTAATCATTAAAAAAGTTTGTAAATCATTTCTAATCAATACCTAATGATAGGACCTACAATAGGAGTGCAAAATGAAACATTATCATTATTGAAAATTATTAAGTTCCATCAAAAACAAACTATATAATTTATCACTTTGCTATCTTTATAACAGTTCAATATTTTATCGCCATTATCCTGTTTATGATGTTTCATCAGAGTTTCGAACAGTATTGATATTTCGATACAAGGTTGTTCAAACAAGTTTCAACTTTATATTTTTAGTATAGGCTGATGTCGAAATGATTGATCTGTTTTTATACCAAGAATGATCTAGTTTCATTAAATTCTCCGATTGAAACAATATTAATAAATTTATAAAGGTTAAGGACAGTAAGTTCATAGAATCGTTACAAAATTACATTTTTTAAATTTTTAATAGAGCAGACGGTCTCCTCATCCATTCCTACTTATACATTAAAATTTGCAACATTTAGAGAATCACAAATAGGGCTACCGTTATTAGCCATGATTACTACACCCTATTGGTACCAATCTTTGAGACCTTCGAATATATTTAAGAGTTAAGCTCTAGCTGCTTTGTTTTATTTTTGTAGTTATCATTATTGTATCCTAATTTTTACATATAAATATTAAAAACCGAAAACACAATAATCTGAATATGAATTATGCTGATTTTATTTATACTTTCCGTTCTAAGTTGTGTACATCCGAGATTTGTTTTTTATCTAAATGTGTTCAAAGACGGTTTATGCTTTTGTGTATAACTATTATTTTTCTATTGTGTGGACAAAGTGTCTTAAAGGATTGGTACGAAACTACTATAACGGTATAAACAGCAGGTGAGATTTCCTACTTCTTCCTTAATTGATTTGATTCAAAAACCTAGACTTTAGATTTCGAATATATGGATTTTCTTCAATTAAATAGCGTAGCCTTCAGGAACTTTACTGTTTTTCTAGATGATAGATTCAGTATGTATTTTAGTCCGCTTACGTAAGATTATGACCGTGAAATGACTGCTCTTGGACTCATATAGGTAAACAGGGAGTTTTTTAAAAGGAGAGGTAGGTACGAAGAAAGTGTATTACTGTATCTTAACAAAAAAGTACTACTGTATCTTCATTTTATTATGATTGTTGCACCCTTTAACTTTTTTGTAGTAACGTACTAATCACATTTCATAGGATTATAATTAGGAATACAATAGTAGCTAGTACAGTAGTTGACGGGCCTGTTGGTGTAGTGGTTAGTGACCCTGACTGCTAAGCAGGAGGTCGTGGGTTCGATTCCCAGGAAAAATATAGTGTGATGAGCACGATCATTTGTTCTGTGTCTGGGTGTAATATATCTATAATATGCATGCATTTAAAAGTATAAGTATGTTTATCAGAAGGTTGGATATCATAGTACACTCTCTGCCTAGTTTGCACGCTTAGGACTAGACTGCCGAGTGTGAGCTGTGTAAAGTTAGAAAAAATACCAATAACAGATTAAATATTAATTCAGTAGTACTTAATGTACGGATTTGCTTTTAATCCCCCTTTGTAACCGATTCCATTGCCGTGAGTTCGATCTTCAGACGAAACAATTTTTTTAATGATTTACAAATAATATATTTGATCTCAGTTTGAATATTACAACTTAGTTTTTATTGAACATGTATGAGTAAATACTGCAACAATGTAATGATATTTAAAGAGAATTCTAACGCAATAAATTAACGCACTTATGCATAAATAAAACTACGAAATATTTATAAAAAATATATTTCATTTTGTATTGAAATTGTATTTTTAATGAATAACGTTAATGAACCTTGCTTCCCTAATGATTGCTAAGATAGCGTCTAAGGTTTCCGCACAAGTGGGCAAGATTTCTGTTACGGGTAAAGTGTACCCTCTAAATCCAGTGTCTCTTAGAAGGAAGGAGGCTACAATCGGAGGATTGAATCGGTATTTAATCCAGTCAATAACGCTGCCTGTTGCGCCATCTGAAAAAAATACAATAGGTCTATTACATTTTCTAAGAGAAATTCTTTCATGGATTGTCATTATAGAAATGTGTTATTTAACTTTATTTTTAGCTTTTCATGTATTTTTGCCTGACGTTTTTAGCGATCAATGTGACCTTTTAACCTTCATCTCAAAAGCCGGCAACACCGTCTCTTAAATTGCAAATGTCCGTGAGCATCATTAGTCGGCTACCATCAGGTTACCGATCCCTCTTTCACCTAATAAGGTTGTTTTTTGACTATCAACTGCATACAACTTTTTCAGAACAACAACAACATCGCAATAGTGTTTTTTAATAATAATAGTAGTAATATACGATACACATGAAAGAAATACACCGAAATAAAAACCATAATCAATTCTTCGTAGTTATCGACGACTTTTATTTGTAATTTTAAAAATTGTTTTGCATATGTTTATCTTTTTATCATTGAATATATTTATCTTGCTTAGTTGAAATTTATAAGTCCATTAGTTTTATGTCGCATTATAGCAAACTAGAAATTACTTGATCTAAGTTTTTATGATATTTGATCAACGTGACTTTAGCATGTGTCTTCTTGTGGCGTGGCGTGGCTTCTTGTTAAGACCTTTATGAAGTATTTTATTGGTCAAAACATTGTAGATTACTTACTTCATAAATGTATAGACCACAACAACAATTATATTTGTGTTTGTTTCGTCAATAGATTTGCTTGTGACTGAGCTTGCGTTAAAATCTATTTCTATTTCTCGGTAATAGTTGATACTTTTTGTTGACAGAAAACGTGTAATTATTAAAATTAAAATCGTGAAAATATGAGAAAAAAAAAAAACTAACATAAATTTGCATTTAAAGCAAATTTATGTTAGTTTGTTGGGTTTTAAAGGAGACTCATATCGAAAACTATGATTATATATATATATATATATATATATATATATATGATTTATTAGTGTTTTAGATAAAGAAAATATGTAGGTAATACGATGGCTGGGTATTCATCTGCAAAGTCAAAGATGCCGAATTCTATTGCCGATAAATGTTAATAAGCATGACTGTGCAATTTCACATTAATTTCGGCATTTAAAATCAATTCTAGCTTTGTTTGTGCAATCAAATGATTATCTTGATTAAATATATATATTGTTCAAAATAGCAAACATTACAATCTGTGTGCTTACTATTCTTTTCTATATCTGACCTAAACAAGTTTACATTTATATAAAAAAGTCTATTTTTCCCTAAATTCTTAACATTTTCACGGTGATTTAGGGTACGACATTGAGATTAAAGATATCGTTTTATTTATAGCAGAGAAACCTAATTGTATGTCTATTTACGGCCGCCTAACAATAAAAATAACTCTAAACTTTTAGACACAATATTTTACTTTTTAGAGATAGTTGGTGTGTGCGTGTTTTTTAAAATCCTATCTAATATTACAAATTTGAAAGTAAGTGTTATAACATAATGTGTGCTTTCATATCTTAATGACTGAGCCGATTATTATGAAATTTTGCATGATTGCTGTCAGGGTTAACCGTGTCACCACCCCTATTCATCCCGTCGGTGATTTAAGAGCCGAGTAAGGGAGCAATGTACGCAGCACAAACAAACTGCAAACAGAAGGAAACCTTGACACCTTTATAAACCCGTCCGGCCAGTGAGGTATAGTAGGTTAAAACCTCCTTTCTAAGGTCTACGTCCAACAGTGGACTATTAAAGGCTGTTGATAATAATGATTTTGTCAGGGATAAAAAGAGCATCACTCAAGACGTGTACCTAATTGACAAAATTTACATAACAGGGAACGAAATCGCAGTAAAGGTACTTAAAGAAGGTATACCCACCATGAACAGCACGTGAGTTACCAACTAAATATTGAGTGTTGTATCTAACCGATAAAGACCCAGCGGCTCGTCTTGCAATGGTTACCTGTAAACATAAATGTTTATAAAATGTTGTGTAAACCTTAAGACTTTGAACAATTAGTGCTATGATTTTTATTAGATAGCAAAGAACTTAATAGTTACAGCGAAAGGATTATTTGGGAGACTATTTCATTGTGTAGGATGACCACATACTATGGAATGGTATTTAGCAAATTTCTCGTTGCTTTTCACGGAGTGAGCCCAAAAACACCTTTCTCCCTATTTCTAGGGCTCAAATGGCGGCATCTCACTTGTGACTTTAATTTGTAGGTGTCCATGGCCGGTGGTAGTCACTTACCATCAGGTGGCCAGTCTACTCATTTGCGGGGGCGAAGTCTACCATGACACAAAAAAAAACAGTGGCACGCCGGGAGTGAAGACAGAAGTGAAAACTTTTATACAGAAGTGTAGGTAACAGTAACGGTAACAGTGTCGCGAGTTCAATTGTTTTTTTCCCATCATCTCAAAAAATGCCCAACGCGCCTAAAGAAGTTTTCCCTTCAACAGAGGTGTCGGTAAGGGTAAGTAACAGTGTCACGACTTCATTCGTTTTTTCCCATCTCAAAGTGTGTTTTTGGTTAAACCATAAAATACATTCTTTTGTTTGTTGTTCAAATATGCCCAACGCGCCTATATAAGTTTAAAACTGCGAAAAACATTTCTTCGGGATTTTATTATAGCACTGTGTTAGCGGTCAATTCGGTCCGTGTAGTGACGGATTAAGAATACGGAATGTCACTACCCCAATTCATACCGTGGGTGTCGTAAGAGCACTGCAAAAAGAAGGAAAGCCTGAAACAAACCCTATACCACCAACCCGTCTGACCAGCGTGGTATAGTAGGCCAAAACCTCCTTTGAAAGGAGAGGCCTACGTCCAGCAGTGGACTATTAAAGGCTGTTGGTGTGATGATGATGATGACTGTGTTAGCGTGGTTAATTTATATACCCATGCAAATTAACGCTTCGTATTCCTGAGACATTCTAAGCTCAAACAAAGGAACACTAAAAGTAAAACTCACCATTTCATTATAATTATACATTGGGTTGTCAGTATGTGCGAAAGGGATCACAATTCTTTGCCCAAAAGATCTGAAGTTCAAGAATCCAGTAATCTGGGTACCGATATTATTAACTATGAAATCCGATATCGCCCTAGTTTCTGGCTCAGAGAAAGGCCCGAGCCCATAGTAATTATTACTAGCTCGGTTGAAACTGCCTCCGCTCACTAAAATAGAAATATCAATTGACTGGTATTAAAATTATCTACTGGTACGAATAATAATGTAAAATTTAAGAAATGTAATGATTAAATTTGAACAAAATGTGTTTGGATATACATATAAAGACATATACACTAATATCTACATCGTCATCCCCGAAGGGATAGACAGAGGTTTTAATAAAGAAGATTTAATAAAGAAATTTATTAATCATAAATAAAATTCTTTCGAACACAAGATTCATAAACAATGGAAACAACAAAATACAAAAACCTAAAATACAAATTTGTACCCACAAAAGAAAAGAAAGAATTTAACCTTTTTTTAGATAACGGGGTGGAAGATCGTCATGGATATCCGTTGTCCAATGGGGGAGGGCGAAGGGGTTCGGACTATTACCGTCAAAAAACCACAACGGTGTTCCTCTCCTAGCCAATGGCCGGGGGAGCGAAAATCGCTATTGCATTCTTCGGTCAAGAATTTTAGCTGCTTGTGCTTGTGTATTATGCATACGAGACGTAATTATCCTTTTTGACAAACTTCATCCAATAGTATTCTTACATCGGTCAATTCATGTTACACTTGGTGCCGACCAAAACCAAATTTAGAAAGAAAAGGAAAAGTGCAGGATAATGATGATTATGATAAGTGGCGCAGTGTAAATATTTAGATCTTGTTTCCATGTGTTTGGAATTGAAGAACCAATGTCAATTGCTTACCTCCCCAATGTGAATTCCAGTTCTTAGTTAAATCGACACCAATCGCACTGGTAGAAACAGGTTTTCGATTTTTTGTCCAGAGTCTGACCTGCAACGTCATAATAATTTGACCTTACACACAGTCGCGATCAACTGATCCTAAATTAGGCAAACGAAAACGTACAGCCGATAACCACAATATACATCACTGAATGCATGATAGTGATAAATTAAACAGTGACATAGAACAAATAATAGTAATCATCACACAGTTATAATAGGTCTTTACCTATGAAATTGCCGTTTTGTATGCAATAAGTGAAAGTACTTATTTTTCAAACTTTTTTATTTCTGTTATTCAAAGTAATCACCCATGCAATCGACGCATCTTTGCCAACGCATTGGCAGTTTATTGATGGCCTTCTTGTAAAAATCAGCTGGACGGGAGGCAACAAACTCTTCAAAGGCATTTTGTACTGCCCCTCGGGAATTGAATTTTTTACCCACTAAAAAGTTGTCTAAATTTTGGAAAAAGTAATAGTCGGTGGGTGCAAGGTCTGGTGGTTACACGATCTCTTGCTAAGATCAGGATCACGAATCATTAGACCAACAGGCCCACCACTGCCTTTAGTATTTTTCAAATTTTTAAGATAATCAATATAGATGAATAATATATGTGAATGGGCCGAAATAGTAACAATATAGACATATTGTCATAGTGTGTATATGTTTATAACTGATTTGTGAGAAAATCCCTTTTTTTTAAGTCTTGTATTGTTCTAAGTATATTTTATTTTCTGAAAGTTCTATCTGGCAGCGTTAGTCCCATAGAAGTAAATACTCCCGTTTTTATTGTTAATCGAAACAAATAAACAGACTGACATGTGAAAAACATTTAAAAGTACCCTGTTGACGTTCAAGTGGGTTGAGAAGAAGCTGTCGCTATAACATAACGAATAGACAGGCATTTTTTCGTCTTTGTTGTATAATGAATTTAGGTCATGTTGTTTTTAGGCCGAATTTCCTGTCTATCCCAATAAAAAACTATTTATAACCCAAGTAAAATAAAAAAAAAACTTTCTTACTGAATCCTGAGTAAACTGGAAGCCATCAAGGTTTAACAAAGGAAAAATGTACCACGTAAAGTCTTCAGCAGCAGCTCTGATCTCAGGGTCATTACTATGAATAAGTCGATCTGCGACGTAAGTCAAAACTGTAGGCGATAACCAATCAGCACCTATTTCGCCAGCTTGTAGTACAAAAACTCGTTTACCAGTGCCACGGGTAATTTTGATTCCTGTGATATTTCTGCCTGAAAAATTAAAAAGGACTCAAATTTTGCCTCAAATCCAAAGTAAATATTAATCAACTCTTCACCTTGACTAGCATGTAATCTCCGGGTATTAAGATTTTTCCATAAAAATGTTAACAGCATTTTACTCCGTTTTTGTAGTGTAAAAATTTATATGGATCATTATATCACAGGAGCTAAATGGCATCTGGTGACTTGCAACCCTTACATACTATAAATAAGAATAATACTGAATTTATGAATTCTAAAGTTGATCAATAATAACCTTCGTGAGTTTGTCCTACGATGACTTTGGAAACAATTCTGCTATAATTCCTTGCCAAGATATCAAACCAGTTGTAGATATCTTCCGCAGTCTGATAGTTTGACCAGAGTAATTGTTGGTTTACATCACGTTTTCTTCTGCTGAAAACTTGTGCATTGAAAGCCCTAAAATCGTAAATGAAAAATTTATTAAATGTAGAAAAGTCCAGTAGACAGTCAATATTACAAAAAAAAAGTAATTGAAAAGACAGATTTTAGGCAACAAAAGGCTGACCAAAAACCGTATCTGTAAAATAACAATATTCCAATCCTAACCGTTGAACTTTAGGCAGAAAGCACTCCAACGTTTTTAGTAATTATTGCTAGAGTCAAAAATTAGGTTAAGTGTGTCCTTGTGAAGTTTACAAACTCCTATTACCCAATTTCCTCCATATGAGGTACGCTAGGGAGGCTTTTCTAATATTGTGAACGCCTTCAATAGTAGGGCACAATTCGAGACTTATTCGTGTATTCCGATTCTTAAGAAAGTCAATTGTTTAAAAAAAATCGTGTGGTGTCGTGGGACACCAGATAGGAACAAAGTACCTTATGCCATATTTTACCAATAATTCATTTATAAATTTACGTCAAGGTATTTTTAGAGAATAATTAATTTGGGTGTATTTTTTTATAAAAACTATAAAAGTTAATTTCCTAACGAATGAAAATAATGTTGTTTAAAAAAAGCAGGTATTGTTTATTAGAAAAAATTATAACTCAAATATTATTGATTGTAGAGAAACGAGACTGGACTCATTTTATTCCACATTAAATTCTCTAAAAATCATACGCCTCGTGTCTAGATCTCCGATGCGTTGTTCTCGAGTTATTAAATAAGAAAGCGCAATGCAAGTCGAAGAATTACTTTCTCTCTCTCGCTCTGCAGGCAGTGAATGCTTAGCGAGAGAGATAGCGACTAACGCTTTTTCGTAACGTACGTTTTTTCTCGTGAAATCCCTCTCGACACATCGTCCCTCAGGGAACTTTGTTCCAATTATTTGAGGAAGTCCGACCATTACGCTTAAATATATTATGAATAGAAATGCTTACTTACTCTTGTATATTTTCCAACATAAGTTCTGAACGAATGTTACGTTTCCGAAGAATATGTTCAAATTCATCTAAATTTGCAGGTGGTATCACAATACTAGCGTAATCACCAACATGACTGGGAGTCTTCCAGAATTGTAAAAAATCTTTGTCCGCTTCCAGAAGGTGTAGGAATTTCACATGATCGTTGTTTTCTGCATGCACTTTGTACAATGCATAATTGTCATATTTCACTTGATCACCAAACACAGAAGTTGCTAAAATAGAAATTAATAATATTTCAACAATCATTTTTAATTATTTTGTACTGGCATAAGGCACGCACTGAATTACTTTTACTAAATCTATATGAGTGTGATGAGAGTGATGCTATAAGTGCTGTAAAATTTATAAGGCATTTATTTCCTTTGAATAAAGTTTATAATTGTTTAAGAATCGTAATACATTTTATCAATAATATTCAAGTATTCGAATTATTGCGGCCATTTATCAGTAGTTATGAGACAATTATGTTATAAAAACTAATATTTCGATTAGATTAGTAAGCATCGATTACCATAAAGCAACCGCATTAAAATTAAAAATATTTGTACATAGATAATCACACGTTTATCTATTTGTGCTATAGTAATAAATATAGGTTATTATCGACATTATAACACTCGACATTCTATTCAAATAGTTAATCTCATGTCCCATTTTCAAACACTTTTCAACCTCTTACCTTATTAAGTTCATTTTAGCGAAACAAAATCAAATAAAAATGACGTAGGGTAAAACCATCAGAGTATTTTATTTACGTATATTCTTGGTATTCTTAGGTATCGAAGTTAGATTTATTCTAAATTAATAAAAATAATTTTAAATGTTCCATCACCCAAAGGGCGACCGGACCCGAGAGAATGCCTCGGTCATTAAGTCCGCCTATGTACAACTTGTGCATTAAGCGATTATAAATGATGTGTCAGATGTTCGAAAACATTTATATCTATATATAGTTATTTATATCTATATAGGTATATAAAAAAAAAACACATAAGTACGTATGACTAACGTTGAAATTAAAAAAAAGCTTTATTTAAAATTAAGATGTAAAAGAAGAGGGAATAATAAAACATTAAAAGAAGAAAAAATCATTTTTTGTTTTATTATTGCTGCTATTATTATTTCTATCAACACTTAAGCACTGTAAAGCTTGTGCTTGAAAATAACTAATATTATAAATAAACAATTTTAAAACACACAAAGTTGCAGCAAAAAACATTTTTTCACTTTGGCTCTCAGGGTCTTATTAACATGTTCAAGTATGATTGCCTTTACTTTAAACTTATGACCTGCACGAGCAACTACCTTGACATTCAAATGAACTTGTGATTCTTAAATATCTGCAAAAATTATATTTTAATTATATTTATAGTTACATAGTTACATAATCTATGAGAGACTTTCAAAATTCATAAGTCTTTCATTGTAAAGGTACATGGAAGCTAGCTACTTTCTTGTTACCTCAATGAGATAAGTTAGATACTGTTCTCATCTCTATGCAGGGGCACCTCAGCACCAGCTTTTCCCTCAGGACCGCATCCAACGAAGAGCTATTCGAATCGTCGATAGGCTAAACTGGAGATGTGTTGGATTGTCTCGATTCCTTGGCGTTACGTAGAGGTGTGGCTTCACTCTGCTTTCTCTATCGCATATATTACGGAGAGTCCGGTAATAGTCCTAGGAATTGTTCAGACTAATACAGGCCGCAACTTTTCGCCATCGTTCCACACGGCAAAATTTCCATCCCTATCACCTGGATATCAGTACGACGATAGAAATTGCCCATATACTCGTATTCCGCCAGCATGCACAGATGAACGTTATTGGTTAAAATCTTAGTCTATCCAGTATAAGCCATTTGAAATTCTCTAATCATATATTTTTTACTTTACATACTGCCGTGAGTAAGTTTGACTAAATCTGACATTAAGTAACAAAGTTGTACGAATGACCATTAAAACAACATTTTACAAATATATTAGCTTAAACCAAAATTAACACTTCATAAAATAATGCAACGCGACATAAAACTGGCTGCACATGAATGTCTACGTCGCGTGGTCATCGCTAATTGTGATTAATAGTCGTTCCTCTGTAGCCATCATTTGTCTTGCGACTCGTCGTGTCGGACAGTTTACGTTCTACTGTAAGTTTGACGACCTTACAGACGAGACACAATGTCATGCATATATTATTTTTATTTATTCTTTTGTTTTTTTTTTCTCATGTTATTATATATTAGTACGTGAAAAGAATTCTTTGTAAGTAACTTTGTAAATGGTTTTAAGGAAAAAAGACGAACGTATGAGCGTAAAATCTAGAATGCTTAAATTATATATAGGTTACTAGCTGACCCGGCAAACGTTGTTTCGCCGTATACATTATTTCTAGGAAATATTGAAAAAAAAATTAGGGATGGGTCACCCTTTTTAAGGGTATGAAAAATAGATGTTGGCCGATTCTCAGACTTACCCGATGTGCACACAAAATTTCATAAAAATCGGTCCAGCCGTTTCGGAGGAGTATGGTAACTAACATTGTGGCACAAGAATTTTATATATTAGAAGAACAGAAAAATAAAAGTTTAAAAAGTATTACAAAGCTTAAAATCACGTAAAAAGATTAGTCTACGTATTTTCAGCGCTTAATTATGTTGCTCGTAATTTGTCATTGTACGGAAAGTTATACAATAAATTGGAATTTTGGTGTTCCTTGAAGTCTCAATTATTTGTCAAGAATTTCTTGAACACCTGGGGACCACAGTTATTATAGTTTTTAGTTATAATTTTTTATTTAAAAAAAACCAGCACTATACGTACTTCCTTGAACATTGTACTGAGATAGCAAGCATTTTTGACTTATGAAGAAGAATTTTTATATAAGTGTCACTTTAATAATATTTGAAAATCTTTTCTACATAAGTAGAAAGACTTTATTTTTTATTTTTTCTACTTCTTTCACTACTCGTAGATTCAAGTTGCCCGTCTGTTTCTAATAATGCAATGAAGTTAAATCCACCTCTTCAACCGCGTAATTATTGCTCCCGATCCGTCGAGAAACTGAAGTAATGCGTTTGGTACACGAAACAAATGAAGTAAAAACAGTTTAGGACCAAATTAAACACCGCTGTGAAATGACGCTGAGGTTTGTAAATGTTGTAATAATTTTGTGTTCATTTTAAATTATATGGATATTAAATTGTAAATAACTTTGTTACATAGCATTACTAGTTTAGAATTGTGACGCATGTTGTATTTGTTTATTAAGCTTTCACGTTTTTGTGGTTTACGAATATATTTTTGGTCCTGAAAACATGTACTGTTCTCAAGAGATAGAAAAATAACTTTACTGAGCGAGCGATTCACATCACATGAACAAGCCTATAATAGTCCAAGGTTCGACATAGCCCTCTCCTTAGAAAGCAGGTTTTGGCGATTAATTTTTAGAAATTAAAATTTAAAAATATGAGCCATTCATTTTGGCGTTCACATTACTCATCATCATCGGCCTATCGCAGTCCACTGCTGGACATAGGCCTCTCCCATTGCACTTAGATCGATTTTGGGCTTCTCGCATCCAGCTCCTGCCAGCCATCTTGCGCAAATCGTCACTCCACCCTCCCCATGCAGACATTACTCATACTTAGTATCAAATGTAAAGTTTTGTTATGCACTGCAAAATTAATTTGGTATAGCATTTGTTTTATTTAAAAATACGAGTCGCCGAACCAATAACCTATGTAAAGGTACCTTAAGCTTAAAGTATTGAAATCGCCTGAAGGAATAGAAGCGATCAAGACATACCAGTCATACGTGGTAGTAACTGTGTCTGTCTAAAGTAAATAATAGCTCGGTACTTATTTGCGTCACAAAACGGCAGTAACGTGTAAAAAGGCAAAGACTTGAAGTGTAAATTACATAGTACATTTATCTTGAACGTCTCGGGCTGCCACAATAACACGGCCGACTTCATTTTCTAATAATTCTCTTTGTCCTGCTTGGATCGTGTTTGCAGTTTTTTCTTATGGTCCGAGTTATAAGAGTGAGTAACTAATAAAATTCAAAGTATTATTGTTTATCTCCACCTGTTTACAATACAAAAACCTACTTTTGCACCCGATTGATGTGATGGGAGATTTTCTTTTAATTGAGAGAACATTTTTTTTAAAGACAACTCCCGCATTAGGAAGATATCCTGTGTCGCGAGGGACTTTACAAAGATACATGAAACGGACACAAAGAACACCCAGACTCAGAATATCAATTTGTGGATCACACAAAGTGTCGTGTCCTATGTGGGGTCCGAACCCCACAACACTCAGCGTAGTTGTGAGCGACGTGGCGACCTTTTAAACCACTACGCCACCCGTGCAGTCGAACATGATATAAGTCAGTTTGTTGACTGTCCCTTATTTGAGTATTCAAGTATAATTTGTATTTTTATAAATTTTGTTCTTTTTTAAAGTGACATTGAACCACAAACATTGAAAAAAATCACTAAAAATATCTTTGGCGCAAGGTTTTTACCCAGGAACTACAAAAACCATCTAAAATCTATACAGTTAAGGAATAAAAAGTTCAGTCACTAGTCTTTGAGTTTAATATATTTATTTCTAAGCAGTACTGTAAGTTCCCTATAAACGATACGTCAACATTATAATAAAATATTTTAAAATCTGTCCACTTTAGTTCGCCTTACCTTCAACTAATTGACCTGCTTGTGATCTCTTCTGCTTCTCAGTTATACCATACACCATTAGCCGTACATCACAACGTGTCGTTAAGGGCAGGAGGTGGCCCAATAAATCAGGGGACGTCGTCTGCGTTCCGGTTGCACTCGCTAATGCGAACGTGTAATGAATGAGATCACGTCTGTGATTGTAACACTTTTTAAATTTCCTCTTTGTTGTACATCACTTGCTTTTCCAAATCTGTCCTTCTTATTTTCCAAAGCTCTCTAATATTTAAACGAATATGTAACTTTCTCACACATAAATAACCTCCTTCGTTTTTGGTTTAAGTTAAAGTGGTTTAAGTTAGTAATTAATGTTTGTTGATTCGTATTTTGGCACTGCCACATTGTTCATCTGATCATCGTGAAATTTTGCATAAATATGGAGAGACATACAACAATGAACAAAGAACCTTTCATTTAGAAGAATCTGTTACCTTTGCTTGCACCAAGACTTAATATATCATATATCATATAATATTATAAATGCGAAAGTGTGTCTGTCTGTCTGTCTGTTACCCTTTCACGCTTAATCCCCTTAACCGATTTACATGAAATTTGGTATGGACATACTTTGATTCTTGGGGAATGACATAGGCTTAACTTTTACTACTACTAAAAGACATAGGCTTAACTTTTACTTTTTTACTTTTTACTTATTACTTTTTAACGCAATAACAGACAGGGACGCGGGCGGAGCCGCAGGAAAAAGCTAGTTGTAAATATTACCTTGACACGTCTTACACACGACCGTCTGATCACAAACTAGGCAGAGCCTTTACTATGGTAACCAAACTGCTGACACTACCGTTCGATTTAACTCAAGAAATACAAGTGCGTTGGTACCCTTTAAGTAACCCTATTTTTAAAAGATCACAAACTTTTTTTTAAAGATAACTCCTGCACTAGGCATATATTCTGTGTTGCGGTGTACTTTACTAATATTCATGAAACGGACACAAAGAACACCCACACTCAAATCAACAATTTGTGGATCACACAAAGTGTGTGTGTGTCCATAACACTTAGCGCAGTAGGAAGCGGCGAGTAACCGCTTCCACTGCGCCATCTGACCCGTGCAGTTAAACTCACAATACATCCATTGCACTACTGTAAAGATATGATATTTATATGAAAAACATCCATATAATAATCGTTACATTAAGCTTTCCTATTCTTGGTGGATAATAAAGAGTATCAAACTTAGTGGCTTCTGGCTTAAGCAGTAAAAGTTAAGGTTATACGAGTTTTTTGTTCTTTTGTGTCAATACTAAGGCTATTTGTTCATTTTTCGATCTCCTGGAGAAATATAAATTTACTGTTGGAAATCCTACTAATACTAAATCTACGTGACATTCATTTGTTTTTAACAAGTTATCAAAATGAAATATATTCGAAAATGTATTTAATATATTTATGTTTTAGTCAACTTTTTAAAAGTAGGTACTTCATTAAAATTAAGAGATTTGTTTTTACCTTTTTGTACTAAAGTATTTACCAGTTCCAGAAGTTTCCCTTCTCATTTTGGGAACCGCAATTCCACTATCCGCAACCACCGCACCGATCCATCTAACTCTGCGTTAATTTGTTCAATTGCTGTGCCGTTGTTACCATCGTCTGGCATCACGCCAGTCGCTCGGTCTAATTGGGATCCCGATACTTTGTATTTGTTTCGGTTTAATAGCTTTATTAGTTTACCGCACTGATCCCTGTACGCATTGGCGATGTGCGGATTAAGAAACTAAATAAATTGTGACGTGCTTATGTATGAAACATGCTCGTATCTGCTATCGTCTGAAGTGTAATGCTTAGCCACCTACCTAAAATGACTGATGATTAAAACCGGATCTAACAAGTTACATGGGGTCCTGGAAGAAATTGCTCTGAGCGATAAGACCGTCCTTTGTATATTGCACCTGTTGTTCATTGAATTACTTTGGCATCATCATCATCATCCTTTAATAGTCAACTGCTGGACATAGGCCTCTTCTTTACTTTGTAATGTCTGTAAATCCCTGGTGAACAAATAAAGTATCTATCTATCTATTATCTATCTACATGTAGTACGAAAACATGGTCTTTGAATGAAGGTTAAAGGAAACGTTCATCCGCTTAACGCAGTGAAATTACCACTGCAGCACTATCGCGTCAGACGCGTAAGTTCTGTTCTGCACGAATTACCCAACTACCCTCCATTGAACCACAAAAACCAAACTTAACTAAAGGGAATTTATTTGGATAGCTTAGTAGAGTATAAACCTCATCTCTAGCGTAACTGTATATTCGCTTAAAGAACGATACGGTAATGTTTTTTACGCTCAACACTAGCTCATGAGTAACTTTTTATTTGGGTAGGTATGCTATCCGTTTGACCCTATTTAATTTTAAAGATAAATCACTGATCGTGAGGATGAAAACAGAAGAATGAATGAATGAATGCTTTGCATAGGCTTTTCTTTAGAAATGTGATTTTGGCCTACTGTACCATGCTGTCCAAATGGGCATAGGGTTTGTTTCAAGTTTTTCTTCTCTTTGCGGTGCTGTTGTCCTGCGTAGTTTGAAGAATAAAGTTACAATTCATCATGATATTGGCGCATTAAAGTCGATGATATGTTTTTAAAAGTTAGTTTAACAAGCTAATTTCTATAACCATCCGGTTGGAATGAAACAACATAACAGATTAGTTAAAAAATTACATTCTAGTTGATTAGTGCTAATGCGATGTATCAGTAACTGTAAATGTTTATGTGTAAATAAAAAAGTTTGAAAAAATAAGTACTTTCACTTATTGCATCCAAAACGGCAATTTCATAGGTAAAGACCCATTATTATGACGCGTAATACCTGGTAAACGCTGGCTATCAGACTTTAACTGACGACCGGATGGCGTAGTGGTTTGTGTAACGAACTGCTGTTCCAAATGTAGCGGATTCCCGCTCAAGTCAAACATCTGTGTGCATGAACATTTAATGTTTGATTTGGTCAGGGTGTTTCTATGTATAATAAGTATGTATTTACAAAAAAAGTATTTATATATTTAAATCAGTTGCCTAGCAGCCATAGTACAAGCTCTGCTTAGTTTGGGATTAGATGGTGTTGTGTGAATGTGGAAAAAAACGGTGGACATTTTCAATATATATTACGCTTACGATAACTATTTAGTAAATAATAATTCAGGAATCGACCTAAAAAGGTTTATTGATTTATTAAGATAGTGTTTTTAAAAGCCTTAGTATTGATACCTACTATTATTCAAAACAAAGTGAACAATTTAAGCAATCTACAAGTCTAGAATCAGTGATGTTAGTAAAACTTCATGACTCAGAAGTGGTCTCTGTTTACTCAAAGTGCAATCTAAGGCCCCTGGCATTGTTCCAAGTCGGTACTAATTAATGAGGGCACCGGGACACTTCCTGCTCCATCTTACTGCCAATTAAAGACTTTAATTTTTAAATGTATTTGGATGATCTTAGACTGCTAGTACACTGCTCTTAGACTTGGAGATGCTGTCTGTTTTCTTTTTCATTTTTTTATATAAACATAGTTTTGGGTTACTTTTGGTTGCATTGACGTAAGTTCTTGACAGGAACGTTAATTTAAATTAGTGAATATGTCAACAATAACTTAATCTTGTAAGGATTAATGAGGGACTTGTTAATTTTGTTAATTGGTGAGCCTGATTGCTGAGCTAGAGTCAGAGTTGATTACCATCAGCGACAAATAATTGTGGGATGAGTAAAACAAATATCCGTTTTTTTTTTACTGTGTATTTAGTTACTAGTTACTTAGTTAAGTCACTGATAGGATACTTCTGTACTTTCTTTTCCTAAATACATACATATTATAATAGAAAACACCGACAGTCCGAAACAAATACTTACAAATATTACAAACATTTGGTCCGACCCGGGAATCGAAACCTCATCACAGCAGTCGCATACACTACTACTGCGCCACCGAGACAATTTGTGAGCTTGTTAGATGGCTGTGTTGTAAGGTTATCAAATTACGAGTGTTATATTTATAATCTTTACAGTATACATAAAATAAACAATAAATGTCATGTCATGCACAGGAAGGACAACATTAATTCTTTATGTTATTATTCTATTTTTATTAAGTGCAAAATACTTACTAAGGGTTTTATACTAACATACCTAATGACTCAAAATACTTATACCACAGTCTATGTAACAATCGTTGCATATAAAGTTTTAGACTTCAATTTCAGTCAACAGTAGAGACATTGTAATTTTCATAAATATCACACAAAGTAACACGTGACTCAAAGAACAACGTTTATTTTGCTCAGCACAAAAGTCTGATATAAGTTTCCATCTCTGCAGAACTAACTTCATCAATTAATATAAGAATATTTTCCTGTAAGAGTTTGAAAACAATTTTAATTGAGCTTCCAAAGTTAGAAATAATTTACATTTCTTTCACTCATTAAATGGCTGCCAGTTATTAAAGATTTTAAAATATGTGTTCTTTTAAAACTTAATTAAGTTTTTTAGTCTTGGTTACCTTTTTGTGAACATTTTTAATATTTAAAAATCAATGTAGGTTTGTTAATATTTCGTGCTGCGTTGTCATGCCGTTAATGTATATACTTGTAACTTTGCATTCAGAGATACGAATATAGAGTCCATATCTCTCCAAAAACTAAATGTAACGATGGGATGGAAAAACTACATAAACGTGAGTGAAGCTGTATAATAATATCTAGTAATCAATAAATGCAAGTACCCTATACTAGTATAAGAAATCGATTTTACGGGTAAAATTATCAGTTTATTAAAATTTTTACAAAAAAATGTTGATTAAAATTTGTAAAATAAATATTTTTGGACCTAAGTGAATGTTATGTTTCATTCTAATTTAATATATGTATCACAAAAATGTCCAGACGCATTGTAATTTATTACACTTGATCCGACATCTACAAGTTTTAGCACTTAATAGACAGTCTGGAAACTTTTAAGATTATTTGGACTATAAATTGGACGGGTTTGTGTTAACAAAATTGCGTTTCAACTGAAATAAGTTAATGCATTTTTTCTTAAGTTACTGCCACACATTTGGACGATCCAGTAATTCATGTTCAGTTATGTGTACATCTAAATATAATCCCAACACGCATCCACAAAAAAAAGGTTGTTGCACGAACTTAATTGGAGTTATTGAACCTTTCGTTCTAGATGAATTGGGTGCTCATTTAAATACCCATTTAGATAAATTTATAATTAAATAATTTTGATGAAGGGATCTGGTAATTATAACTACCATCTTTTAATGCCAAAGATTCCATACGAATTAATAATAATAATCTCACACATGGCTGACTGATCCCAAACTAGACCGAACCTGTATTATGGTAACCAGACTGACGATAAACCAATTTATATATTCTAGATACACATAAAATTGTCGATAAACTTAACCGAATAATTATGCTTACAGAGTACAGTAATATCACTTAAAAAATGTACTACTTCTGACAGTACAAATATTGATTTGTCCGGTCAGAAGCAATGTTTTAATACGTAATTCATAATTATTACGTTTTTGGATATTTCCAAAAACGTAATAATTAAGAATTACTAAAATAGTTGTAATATTGGAAAATAAACATGGTGAAGGGCTTTGTAACTTTTTAGTGGCACTACAGTATAATCACATTTAGTTTTGTGGTACTAGGACTTGATTCAGAAATATTATCGTTAACCTTTTTTTCCAATCAGCTTGTCATAATTTGTCCAATTTGCTCTAATTTTTTTCCCAACAAATTTACGATACCAATGATGAATGATTATTAGGATACCATTTCAAATACATACGAGTATAAATGAAATGCTTTTAAACATTTATAAAGATTCATCTCTAAAATATCCAAACTCAAGGATATTCTTGGAGACGTGAATGACGAAATCACACAACAGTATAAATAAATTGCTTACTTACTGTTTGAAATTTTAGTTAAGAATTTATGTTACAACTTAATTTACTAAACGCTTTTACTTTCTTAAGTAGTAGAAATAAATAAAACAACTGGGTTAAATAAAGCAATAAATTTAATACACTCACGACTGTCCCGTTTTCAAACGTTTGGCACAAGACGCTAGAGTGCCACAAGGACCACTCCGGCTTTGGCAAGGATCCCGTTGTATCTTTAAATTTTCTGCTTAATCCACAGTATTTTCGAGTGATTATTAAAGTTAACGAGACTCCGTGCAGTTTTGTTTTGTCTATATTTCTTAGTGAGCCTTGTTTTTAGATGTATTTTGCTTTATTCTGAGTTTGGATCTAGTCTGAATTTGTTTTTTGATTTAGTTTGCCCCTGATGAAGTATTAAAGTAGATCTCTTATTACGATTGATTTGAGGTATGGTGCTGTAAGGTAGAAGCGATTTTAACTTTGCGTAGTCACTTTTTTTATTTCATTTTTCAGATGAATCTTTAAATTCAGGTGCTAACCAGATGCTGACCATGGTCTCCAGACATGAGGCACCGACCAGAGAGAGATAGTCACTTTCTTGCATAGAAAGTTTTTTGGATTAAATATCTCTATGTAGATGTGTATCGTTAAAAGAATTAAGTTTTACATTTCTAAACAAATTGTAACCATTATTAAATATTAAGTTGGTAAATTAATGAAAAAACAGTAAGAAAAAATATTTGAAAATAATAACACATCCTAAGCCTAATAATGTTTATATTTGTAAATTAGACGACTAGACTAGTTTATTAATAATTTCTGAGGAGAGTGGCGCCATGTGCTTAAATACAGATCTTCCTTAGTTTGGCGGCGGATGCTGTTTGTAGTTCTTTTATCCTAAGATTTCCTAGTTCGAGAACATCAATCTTGTAAACATTTTTCTTGCAATATTGTTATTAATAAATAAATACAAACGTAAGAGGTAAAGGATTATCCAGTTACATCCAACTGTGTCAGTTCTAGAATGTTAAAAAGTAAGGTAATGACAACAACATGATTGGTATGTATTTAGTTATATATACTTAGGAATACACTGCTTTTGCATAAGTATTAAAAAATATGCTTACAAATGGATAAATTAAAATTAATGAAGTCCCACAGGTTTAAATATTTAATACTTTATTATTCTTTTAAATATTGAAGCCGTAGGCAAATGTAATAATTAGTAAAATCATTAATAATAATAGAAATCGTATCCGAATTGAGATATAAGCAACTGTCTAATAAATAACAGTAAGCAATTAATTCCCATACAAAAGGAAATGCAAAGCCCTTCAATTAACCCATCACAATAAAAAACAACACCTAGAGCCTTGGTAATAGAACTCAAAGTCAATAAATAACACAGGTTACTCCATGGGCGTTGTATTAAATCCTATAGAACATATACCAATACAAGTAGACCCATCATATCCTACAGTTTTCGTTTAATCGTAGAACAGATTAAAGGTCTAGTTGAAATGGACGTTAATACCGAAATAAATGATAGTGGTACACGTGATCTGACGATTTGTCGTGACGGCTAAACGATTATACGGATCATTACTCATATTACCACCTTTTGATAACATCATTTTGGGGTTTCCAGGTTCGCTACCGTGAATGTATTTTTTATTTCTAACCGATTGCGTGTTGCAAGTAATCTTTTATGATCATGTAATTTTTTAGAGGCATTGAATCATTTTGTTGGTCTAAATTAGAACTTTGGTTGCGGTCATTTTTATAACACTCTCTGGGGGTGAGCTTTTAAATTGTCTTGCACTATTCCATTGGAACATTATATATTTTGCTCGCTCCCATGGCATGTCTATTGAAATGTCTGACATGAATGGTCAACGTTATGATTTATTTGCTTGCAGTTTGCCATGTACACACAGCAAACAAAATATTTAGCCAGTAGTACGAAGTACCAGTGATTTTAATGAACTATCACTAGAAAAGTTGAAACTAATAACGCAGAATATCACATCATCACATCAACAGCCTTTAATAATCCACTGCTGGACATAGGCCTCTCCTTAGAAAGGCGGTTTTGGCCTACTATACCACGCTGGCCAGACGGGTTGGTCTAGGGTTTGTGTCAAGTTTCCTTCTTTTTGTAGCGCTGGTGTCCTGCGTTGTTTTGCTTCCTTAGTCGGCTCTTACGACACCCATGGGATGAATTGGGGTAGTGACATTCCGTATTCTTAATCCGTCACTACACGGAGAGAATAATATACGCAGAATATAATCTTATATATAAAATTCTCGTGTCACAATGTTCGTTCCCGTACTCCTCCGAAACGGCTTGACCGATTCTCATGAAATTTTGTGTGCACATCGGGTAGGTCTGAGAATCGGCCAACATCTATTTATCATACCCTTAAATGGTAAGGGTGACCCATCCCTAATTTTTTATTGTTTTGCAATACAACGTATGCCGGGTCAGCTAGTAATTTATAAATGTGTGAGTAAGTGAGTGAGAGAGTACAAACAGTTACCTATAATTTAAAGACATATAAACGTAAATTATTATAGATAAATAAATAGGTATGCTTTATTGCATACAACAAAGTATTGTATAATCTGAAAATAGGTTAAAAACTGAACAATAACTGTCTGTGAACTGTCATATCGCAGTCCGTGACTATGCTTCTCGGATATTTACTGGCAATGTTGCATTCCAAGGCCATGGAGCTTGTACTAAAAAGGATTTATCATAAAACGTTGTAGTATTCTCAGTATGCGTTGTATTATACTTACCAAAATAACACGCACATATAAACCTGATCAGGTGATTCGTTTGCCGTGTGTACTTATGCGTACATTAAGGATAAGAAAAAAAAATCCAACTTAAGAATTCAACGAATAATGACAGTCAGAGACACGGTTTAAGTTAAGTAGGTTCAACTGTAATGTATCTATTTCATTGCGAGAAAATACCATTTAAGTTAAAAAAAAATTGATAAACTTGATATCTATCAAACTACTGACAGTTTTTTGTATAAATATCACTTTGAAATAAAACACTTATCAATGAAAAGAAATTATAATAAGAAAGGGTACACTAACTACGATCAAAATTTGATTGGATATCCCGAATATGGAACCGATATTTCTGGTTCTGAGGCTTTCATTAAATAAAGCTATAATACCTTCGAGAGTTTCTTCACAAGTAGGAAGTATTTTTCTAGTATCTAGTGCAAACCCTTCAGTACCTTTGTCTCTGAGTTCGAATGCAACCACATACCTGGCAAACAGATTGTTGATGAAAAATTTGTAGGAACTATTTTTTATATTTGACGGTAGACTGCACGGTATAATCAGTCGCCACGCCGCTCACTACTGCGCTGAGTGTTGTGGGTTCAAACTCCACATGGGACGACACTTTGTGTGATCCACAAATTGTTGTTCTGAGTCTGGGTGTTTTTTGTGTCCGTTTCATGTGTATTTGTAAAGTCCCCCGCAATACAAGATATATTCCTAATGCGGGAATTGTCTTTTTACAAGAACAAAAAAATTACAATATATATTTAACAATTTCATGATGATCAATAAAATAATTAATGTAAGAAAACGGAACGAACAAAAAACACAAAAAAAATACTAAAATTTAAACAAACAGGATAATAATTCACGTTTATAATATAATATTTATAATATTAGTTAAGATTAAATAACACGTGAGTAATTTCCTCGTAATTTAAGGCTCAATTAAAATCGATGGTATTTTTCAGACGGCCTAAATATGATAACACTTTTATTACTCGATAAGTCTATTCCTTATCATATTCGGTACATATGATTGAAGGTTGTTGAAGTACATTTGTTTATTATTTAGATAATCGTAATATTCGATTGATCTGACTGATAAATGAATTACTGTAGCAATATCAGGGATACCACTTACGAGTTACAAATCTTTTAAAATAATTTCTAATTCAATTATAAAAGAATCGTCATAAAAGACTCCATACATATAAATTGTCTGTATCAATGTAAATTCCATTTTGTAAAATAGGATCATGCTGTTGAATAGCTGTAGATTTTCAAAGACATATTAAGTAGTTAATTGGAATTATAATTACTTACGGAATTTTGTACTCTTTTTTAGCCCAGCAAGCGCTTCCTCCATGTGCTGTATAACCTGTAAGATAAAAATTGAATATAACATTCAAAGAGGCCCATTATAGGAATCTAAATTTCAGTGCGTTGGATGAAATCATGAAGTAAGAAAGAATTGAAAGAAGGATGGTACTGATGCTTATTTAGAGCTTCAAGATGGAAAATAATATGATCTCTACATTCTACGATCTACTTTAATATAACTATTCACTTTAAAAGAAGACGAAAACGACTAAATGGTTAAAGATATTATGATTAAAGTCACTGTACATATAGTATATATATATGTAAGCGTATGAATGTGTATTCATGTATATGTATATGTGTAAATATTAGTTAATATATGGAAATTGCACCACACGCTACCTATTACTATATGATCGTAGTTTCTTTTTTTTTTGTATGTAGCATCGTATGTATCCTAATTATGGTGGGCAATAAAAAGAACCTATCTATCTATATATTTCTAGAAAAATTGAGAAAAAATCCCCAGCCGCATTCTTTATTTGACAAAGCCAATGAAATGAACTTAAGTAAATAAAATAAAATTTAGTTAAGCAAATATAATGAAATTAATCAAATAAGTAGTAGGCCAAAACCTCCTTTCTAAGGAGAGGCCTATGTCCAGCAGTGGACTAGTAAAGGCTGTTGATGATGATTGAAAGTAATTTTATTTTGTAATAGTTTTGAAAGGTGAGAGAAAGTCTTTCTCTGTTTGATGCTAGTTTCCTTTGGAAATAAATAAATACCATTTTATTTGTATTAGAGAGACAGTATACAGAGTGAACCTTTACTACAAAATACAAATTCTAAGTAACCTCAAGGTTTCCAACAGGAAAGAAGCTTATTTTAAAGTAAGATAATAAATGGCTATTAGCTCAGTAAAAATCAAAAACTAATATTTACTCTTTGGTCTATTAATAGATACTTTGATGAAACCTAAACGTATAAATACTTGTAATTGGTACTAACCAACCGTTTCAAAAACAGTTCCTATTAAATATCTGGTTTTGTGTTTCTTATAAATTTTTTCAGCTGCCACAGAACACCGTCTATACTGAAATTTTAAAATTATCTATTTTATTAGAAGTAAAAGTATTTTTTTATTTAAAATCTCAATAATATGTTATATACATATTTTGTTAGTATTAAATTATATTTTATGTGTTCAGAGTTAAGGAATTAGAAGGTGGGTTATCTAACGTCTGAGATTTGAGGCCTTCAAATACATTTTGCCATTTTTTTAGAATACTCAGAACAACAATTTGTGGATCACACAAAGTATCGTCCCATGTGGCGATCGGACCCACAACACACAGCGTAGTAGTAAGCGGCGTGGCAAACGCTTAAACCACTAAGCCATCCGTTCAGTCAACTTAAACAGTCAAAAAAGTAGTTAAAAATCGAGCTGATCGAATTGCGTTTGGTTTTTATGGGATAGAGGCCAAACGAGCAGACGGGTCACCTGTTGCTGAATAACTACCTAAAAACCCCATTAATTCGATAAAAAGCAGCAAAATAATTGTTCAACGTTAGTTTCCTATGTTGCCGCGGTATCAGCACTACGGTCCTGCCAGCTATAAGAACTGAATCATAGTTATCCCATAGTTTAATGGTTGTTTTAAAGTATTTTTTGGCGATTTTGGCATTGTTTTAAAGTAATCGTCAAAAGAAAACTATTTATACGATATACTTAGTTAAAAAAAAATACTTGTTATCACGTTGCACTCTTTTCAGAGTTTGCAAACGAGCTGCAATTACCTAGTTCTTTTATTAACTCTCCAGCTTGTGAAGCGCTTTGATCAAAACAAATTACCTTGAAAAGCATATTCCTTGCTAAGGCTATATAATTTTCATTCATACTAGTTTTTGCATAATCATAGTGTTTTAAGAAAACATTTTACATAAAATTAATTACTGAATGGAGAACCATTCGGCAAAAAGGACAATCAGAACACTTGGGATTAAAGAATTTCTCCCCAAAAAAACACATATGCTACTTACATGAGAACTTATTGAACTTAAAAATAACAATTACATGCAATGATTGTCTAAAACATTTAGATATTTAGTGAAATTACAATTATTATTGACGATACAAAAAAAAAGAAAAATATATTTTAAGTGAGAAACGAGCGGTTGTTTACAGTATAATGAGAAAATCTGGACTTAAATAGGCTAAATTTGCTAACATTTCTTATGTGTGAGGGTAGACTGTTATAAATGTTTGTAGAAAACCTTTTCTTATTTTTGGCAGAACAAGTAGACTTGCTCGACGAGTGCTAACTTTGTTAATATCTGTTTTTTTTTAATGAAAAGTTAGTGTAAATAGTTTTCTTTAGGGATCCCTTTTAGGGAAAACATTTTCTTCAGACAAAGCGATTACATTTAAAACAAGTTTTATCTTCACGGCGACTATAATTTCTTATTGGAACAGACGTAGTCAATTATACGATGTCTACGTACTCATTTTTTTAAATATTTCTGATGATAAACGTTCATTGCTTTTAAGAGATCATCATATTTAGGAAAGTGACACATGATAATCACACAACTTGTTTTAATGAATTTGTAACAAATTTGAAAAGGTAGACAAGTGTACTCTTTGTCAGGACATAAAGGCTAGCCAAGTGCTTTTTAAAGCATCGCGGAGTGAACGCATTTGAGAAACGAAAAAAAAATGGTGATTTCAAAATAGTTTGTAATTGAAGTACTAACCAACTACTCATATAGTCCTAAGAACCAACCAGTAAACTAACCCTAAATACCAGAATATAATGAAGAATTAGCCATTAAAAACATTAAATACCAATTAAACATTAGACTAAATGTTTGAAGACTAGTTCAAGCTAGACAAAGAAACTGGGTTTTGATCAAACTTAAAATAAACAAATATAAACGTAGTGTAGGAGACCCACAGGCCAGGTGGAGTGACGATTTGCGCAAGATGGTTGGCAGGAGCTGGATGCGAGAAGCCCAAAATCGATCTAAGTGGCGTGCAATGGGAGAGGCCTATGTCCAGCAGTGAACTGCGATAGGCTGATGATGATAGCAGCAAATATGGCTAGGTGAAAAGTTATCTTAGAATGAAGGTTTTGAGATAAAAAGAGACCTGGAGCAAAACCACATATGCGATGTAAAAATGGCCTCGAGAATACTTCAGCGATGACTAAAATGAAAGTAGCGCTAGATCCGGTTAAATGACATAATCTGATAGAGGCCTATACTTCATTGTTGGGACCAAAAAAAGAAGTAGAAGAAAACAATGAACTTTACGAAATTCACTTTTATAAGTTCTAGCAGTATTAAGTAAGTCAAGTTATGTTCGGGTAAAAGTTATATGGGAATGAAAGCTTTGAGGTAAAAAGAGACCACATATGCGATGTAAAGATGGCCTAAGAATTCTGCAGCGACAAATTGAATGGAAGTGGCTCAAGGTCTGGTAAAACAACATAATCTGATAGAGGCCTATACTTCATTGTTGGACAGGGAAAAAAAAGAAGTTCAAGAAAACAATGAACTTCACGAAATTCACTTTTACAAATTTGAGCAGTATTAAGTAAGTATGGTGCGGTCAAGTTAAAAATAAAACACCATTTAATCAAAACGTACTATAATAAAAAATATAACATTGAAAATAAACACAATTTGGTCTAAAATCTTATACGATTGTCCCGATTTAATTGTTTTGAGCATGTTCTTCTTGGGACTTAGTAACGAGATCAGACCATCAAGGGTTTCTTCACAGGTAGGGAGTATTTTCGTAGGAGATAGAGAAAAACCCTCTTTACCTTTGTCTCTGAGTTCAAACGTGATCACATACCTGAAAAGACATAGTTGAAATACATAATGCCAAACTTGATACTAATAAACACCAAATATTTTTATTTACAATTAACCGTGACTGAAAACGTGGCCATAAAACCTCACACGGAAAAGCAATTTTTTTTGTACTCATCTTTAGATAGCAAGAAATACGTGAAATACCTAAATTATTTTATTTTGGGAATTTAACCTCACACTATTTATGTTGGAATTTGTAAATAATTTATGGTAGCATAAAGTACTTACGGAACCTCGAATGTTTTTTTAACCCAACATCCACTTACTCCTTTTGTAGTATAACCTGTAAAATACAGTTGATCAATAAAATACTTTATATTAACGGCCGTACTTATGAAATCAGTTTTATTTTAGGTAAGCACCACAGCTTTTTAAGTTGCATCAAATCAACTAAGATCTTATTAACAATGAAAAATTAGCCGAAGTCAGTCTATATCGGTAAGTGCTAAGTCAGGTTACTTAAATTTTTAGTAGTTACTACTTTTATTAGTGTCATATTAGTGTTGTTATTAAGCAAAGATTTGGAAGTTTTTTGACTGACATTCTCTGTTCGGCGAAGACACCTGTAAGTTTGATACGGGTATCAAGCACAGAGCATCATGAAACTATTTTTATGGTATTGCTCGCAAATGTCATGAGTGCTACTACTGGCCGGTATACTATAGGGATTGTGTGTCAACTAGGGTGAATTTCCGTGCGTTTAGGCGACTTTGCCAGACATATTATAGAAATCAAATAGCAACCAATAATATTTTGGCTGTGGTGCTTCCCACTTTAAAAGTGTATTCCTATTTTACATCATTACACATTGGCTGAGGAGGGAAGTGGATATCTTCAATTTCCAACTCCTCCATAATTTCGTTGCGATTTCTAAGACTGCTTAATTTTTTCTTAAGACTTCTCGAGAGTCATAACTTGGTGTGTTCGTGGGTCACTGCTGTTGATCCTGGTATACAGGAGTCACAATGGTGGGCATTTGGGAGGGATTAGTCCCGTAAGTGCGTTGCTAGCATATGACCCCCTAAATCTGTGGACACTCGTCCACAGATTTAGGGGGGAGCGAGGTCGAGTTGTCCACCGGTAAACTGTCTCTCAGTGAAATGCAACGAAAGGATTACTTAACGCTAGTTTTCTGTAAGGCCATGGTATGACTCTAGTCGAGCTGCCATATATTTTTATGTGCCAAAACGTATATGAGTATTTATATTTATTTTGGAAAATCAGGCAATAGATAGATGTAAACTTTTTTTTTGATTCAACTTAGTAATTACAAATATTCCTTAGTAATGTTGGCTTGAGTGTTGTCAATGCACAATTCCTCTTGCAAAATCTGTATGGCATCTTTATTAAATGATAAGAGAGGGAGGTTAGATATCTTTTCGTATTATATTCTTCATTACTTTAGATTTTTTTATTTTTTTTGGTTGACTAATGAAATTTAATATATGTGCATAAGCAAAGCATTAACGTTAAAAAAAAAGACAGATAACGAGTTAGTCTGATGAATAACAGCTATTTAGTCAAGAAGCCATGACTGATTTTCCAATAATTTTGGTCAGCTATTACTTTCATATGTTCAAATTAATTATTAGTCCTACGTACGTATGTACTCGCAAAACTACAAGTAAGTACTTACCAACAGTTTCATAAGGTATTCCAATTTTATATCTTGTCTGATGCCTCTCGTATATTTTTTTTGCGGCTGCAGAACACATTTTGTACTGTAATTGTAATTTTAAATATTTTATTTTATACGCAGTATACGCATAAATTAAATATGTATTTAAAATAAATTATGAATTATTTAATTTCTTATTATTGGTGTTGGATAAGGTTAGGAGGTTGGTCAGAAAATCTAAACGAAAAAGACACCCATAATATCTACTGCTTTCATCTTTAGGGAAAACTTTCCAGCTTTCTGACGGCAGTTTTAATGAGGCGGGGGCCGTCCAAGTTTCTTACTCTGACTAAAGGAGGGGGAGGGGGAGGAGATAGTGAAAAAATTGTGAGAGAGAGGCTGATTTGCTACATCTGGATTGTTTCAGTGTTTGGCCCAAATCGAAACCATGACCATGAGGAATAATCCTTCTAAGAAAAGACATAAACATGTATTTTTATAATGATTCGGAGGCGCCATCGTTTGGGGGCAAATTCCTCCTAAGTAACGGTTTTTTTTTAAATACATTAATAGCCAAAAAATAATGACATTAAGATACCAAACACAAAGTATACAAGTGGCACGGATAGTATCTCATCTGCCATTTATTATGTTTCACCTGATTCTTGCTTTGAAAATTGTTTTATACATCCTTGGCAAGAAACCAAAGTGCCTAAACTTTATTGTTGATACGTTAAGGAGTTGACCATGCGAGCGATACTTCCATAATCAACTTATGAAGATATCTATATATCTTCATAAGTTGATTTCTTTGCACTTCTAGTGGAACTACTGTAAAGTATTTAGCTTAGCAATTGTAATTCAAATTATATAAAAGAATGAGTTCTTGGTAAAGAAGGTTGAGAGTACATTTTTTAAGCAACTGGATCTATTATTATTTACCTTAAAATTCTCTGAGGAATCATAAGATACTATCTACTCAACTCACCTGATAATGTATTACCAAGGGACACACATACACTACAGAAATCTAAAAACTTTATTCCGTCAGTCACAAATACCGATTTTCATATATCGAATGGTTCAAAATGCCAAATATAACAACTCCGATTTAAAATTCATCCCATTTTTTTTAAATTCAAAATTTTAATATTCCTAACGTTTAGAATTACTATGCTCAAAATACCGAGTTTCAATAGATCGAGTAACAAAAAATGACTACTACCCCACACAATTAGAAACATCTAAAATTCACCAGTCACCAACGGTAGAGGGGATCTGGCGCTTTAATGGTCACAGTTCTAACCTACTTGTAAATGTTTGTAGATAATATAATATGTGTAGTATATGTAATATGTATAGTAGATAATAACAAACTAATAGTGGGTTCACAAATGCAGATATTCAACTACTACTGTCTCTCTGCAACTTTTGATCCATCCTAAGGTTGCCTGGAAGAAATTGCATTTAGCAATAAGGCCGCCCTTTGTACACTCGATATTTGATCGCTGTGTTCCTTTCTTGTAACTCTGTAATTTAGTGTGCAAATAAAGAGTTATCTATCTATCTATCTATCTACTCTAACCCAAATGATTCACCAATAAAAGAGAGTATCTGGTGTTAATCGCGACTGTCCTTTTTTTTACAGCCCAATACACGCGCTCCTAGCGTCCTCGCGGCTGGCCGTTATGGCCGGTGGAAGGAGATGTCGTGACGTCCCGTCCACCCGCGGCCACACTAAGGGCGACATGAGGCGGTGGTAAGCGTGCCTCCACCACCCGGTTCGCTGGCGATGGATTGGCTCCGAGTGGAGGTTGTCCTCCCGGGCCCGCTCCGACGCCTCCTTCTGCGAGATGACGTCTTCGCAGAGGGATGTGACCGCGGTGAAATATCTGTCACTACCGGCAATGGAGCGTATGACGGCCGGTAGCGAGAGATCCCCCCCGATGACTGCAATGAGGACCCGGCGCTGCGGCGCCCAAGCCAGGCAAATTGCCAGCGTGTGCTGAGCCGAGTCCTCACTGCAATCGAGGTGATGACAGGCGTCACTCATTGCCCTCCTAGCGACCGAGTGCTGGTACTTCCTGAAGCAGCCGTTCCTGAAAAGGACCTGCGTCAGCCGGAAAGAAAGGGTCTCGTGCGCCCTGCCCAGTTGACGATTACCGGCTGGAGCGAATCCACGGCGGCAAAGCCAGTACGTGAAGCCTCCAGCGGGGACAACCAACGAGCCATCCTGGCTCGACGAGCGGCCTCACGCCACTCGCGTATCTCTTCGGGCGCAGGCCGACTGCCACTATCCGCCCGGAACTCAGCCATCCGCCGATATACTTCGGCGAGCACTTCCGCCTCCAAATCCCACGGGGGAGTACCGGCCAATGCGCACGCCGCCTCCGTCGAAACGATGCGGTAACCGCGTATGGCTCTAACCGCCAATATCCTCTGAGGGCGTGCCCTATTCTGGGCGGTCAGAACCGCCGCCCACATCGGCGCACCATACAGTGCCATTGACCCTACGACCCCCGTGTATAGCCGTCTAGTTGCGACGCTGGGTCCACCCAAATTGGGTAAAAGTCACCCAAGGACGAAGCGCCGACCAGCTTTGGAGCAAGCTGTCGAAAGTGCTTGTCGAATAGCCACCTCCCGTCGAGGATCAGGCCCACAGATTTCATTTGGGTCTGAACCAGTACGAGGACCAAGTTAACCACGATTGGGGACCACCCAGCCCAGGGGGAAAATCGAAGGGCCCAGTCGTACCCTATGTTCAACAGGAGGGGTCCAAGAACGGACCCCTGTGGAACACCGCACGACATGGGCCGACACCTCATACTTTTTTACTTTTGGTAACCCCTACAGGAACTTGTTGTAACTTTCTTACATACACATAAATGCAATTGAACTGTAATTGTACCATACGGCCCTGTCACTAGGCGTAAGAATAGAACGGCGCAGAACCTTAACTAATTATACTTGAAATAGAAATCTGTACTACATGATTGACTTACCACTTCATCGAAATTTTCCAAGTGTTCTATTGAATACCCATAAGGCAGGATCATATATTCTCCATAAGAATGAAAAGCAATATAATATTCTAAATTAAAACTCTTAGATTTAACGAAGTATGCCATAGCCCTACTTTCGTTTTCTGAAAATGCTTTTGGTCCAGGATAGGAATCTGACCACTTTTCAGTGTCTTCTAAAGCTGAAACCGAAAGAAGTAAGATCATTAACATAAGAGTATTTGCAACTAAAAGGAGGTTAAATAATAAAAAAATACCACGAAGTGATTAACGATTGCTACTAAAAAAAAACGTCATGCAGACGAGCAATAAACAGTTGATCTATTCAGGAAAGTCAAGCAAACAACGTGAATTTTTAAACTATCCTCGTGGGTTATAGATGACAAGAACAGTAATTTTATGAATTATTATGATTATGATTATGATTATGATTTATGAAATCGCTAAGGTCGCTGAGAGATGGCGGGACTACTATGAGGAACTCTATCAGGATTACTTAAGCCAGCCTACTCGACCAGCTGAATTAATTATGGATCCAGAGCCAGAACATACTCTGCTCTGAAATTGAAGACGCGATTCGTAAGCTAAAAAGGTACAAAGCACCAGGGTCAAATCAGATTACAGCAGAGGCATTGAAAGGGTAGGGCTCTAATGGAATAACTAGCCTGCATGAAATATATAATGCGATATGGCGAACCAGTCCCTAGCCATCCGACTGGGTACATTCGTCAAATATTCCTATACACAAAAAGGGTTGGGCACGTAACTGCAACAATTATAAGACAATAACCTAAACATCACATGATAGAGAAATCGTACAACACATCATCAACTCAAGACTACGATCTTTTCTTGATTAGCAGATTCCACAGAAGCAAGCAGACTTTGTTAAGGGTAGAGGAACCAGTAAGCATATATTAAACCTTAGGTACATAGTGGAAAAATGTTACAAATACAACACCCCGACTTTTATATGCTTTGTTGATTACCAAAAGGCTTTCGACTGCGTTAAATGGAACAACCTGTGGGAGGTTCTGGCTGAGGCGAGGGTCCCGACTGACTTGGTGATGTTGATCCGTACGATGTAGGAATCCCTATATGGTACAGGGACAATTGAAAATATAACATCAAGCTGATTCAAGCTCCAAAAAGGCGTTTGACAAGGATATCTCCCATTTTATTTAATATAAATGGTGAGCACATAATAAGCTGATAAATAGACTGGAAACTATTATCCAGAAATTTGTCTTGCCATTAACAAATCGAAGACCAAGCTGATGGTAATCGACCGTTTCGCGAAAGTTCAGCAAACCAACCTTCTGCAGGAGTACGAAACAGTGGAACAAGTTAAGTAACTTGGCTCAGTGAATACCCGTCTGCGAAACTGAAATATGTAGACGGATCGGCATAGCGAAGACAGCGATGACTCAACTAAACAAAGTTTGGAGGGACAGAAATATCACAAACAAAACTAGAATGTTTAGCGTCTGTCATAACTTGCAGGCAACGTATCATAAAATATTTCGGATATGTTGCTCTCCTAAATTATGACAACCTGCAGCGTTTGATGGTGACCGGAGGGGTAGAAGGGAAGAGACCCGAGAGAAGATGGTCAAACCAGATCGCTGAACAGCTGCCAAATGCCAATAAGTATCGCACTCCACTAAGCGACTGCAACCGATGAAAGCAAATGGTTGACAGGATAAAAGGGAGTCACGATCCTCAGCAGTGAGGGAACGATTAGGAGAAGAATTTAAAAAAAGATCAAGTTTTTTAAATAGTTTTGTCTCTTACTTGCAAATTCAGCATCAAAATTCCTGTTTATGTCTACAGGGATCTTGTTGCGATTTTTTCTCCATAACCGGTCCTAAAACAAAATGTATATATTTTTGAAAATGTTTTCATGGTTAAGAATTCAGTCGTATTATATTCTGATCACAAACATATAATTAATCAAACTGCAAATTCGATTCTATTACTATCGGTATACATATACCGGTAGTAATTACTATTAAGATAGTTTATTATGCATATAAAAAACTATCATGTATATCATGACTTCTTTGCAATGTAATATAAAAATATAACATTGCAAAGAAGTCATGCCTAACACATTTATTAAAAAATCATTTAATTGAGAATTCCGGAAGTTTCTTCATGACATAATGGACCCCCATTTCTTTTTCTCGCCTTTTCTAGAACGAACTTCTCGACGTCCAAATATGACTTATCCGCTAGTATGCCCATGTAGACTAGTGGTCTACAAAAACGAAATCCTAAAGTGCCCGTGTAGACTAGCAGTCTACAAAAATAAAAACGGAAAGTGCCCGTGTAGACTAGTAGTCTACAAAAATAAAACCGTAAAGTGCCCGTGTAGACCGGTAGTCTACATGGCTCCTGCCACAGATTAATTAGTATTTGACAGTAATTGTATTGACATAATGCTCTTTAGTAATATTTTTTCTATAGTCTGATATATTATCTATGGTATTAATCTCAGTCGAGCATGCAAACACTAGTAAAAAAAAGAATTATACGTCATAAAACTTCTGTCATTTCATCTTACATAAATTATGCCGCGTGGCGGCCGATAATGGTAAGGATTTAGAGGCCTGTAAATAAATAAATATGTATGGGAGAGTATATGGTTTTATTTCATAACATATTAACTACTATCTAAACAACATAATTAAACATTAAAAACCATAGGTCATCGCTTTCATTTTTGAACTATGAGCTTCGAAGTGCAACACGAGCTTAAAAAGACGTTAACTCAATTTCAACACAGTGTAACTCAACACCAGAGCCGTAATCTGTAAATAGAAAGATAACATTGTTTAGCTAATTTCATAGGCAACTAAATAAATATAACACTTGACACCCTTTCAATACAAACTTTAGTCACAAGAACCGATTAAGTGGAACACGGCGCGCGCGTCGATAACGCAAAAAACAGTGGGGCACTTTACGGGTGGTCGGTATTTGTGCCGGGGCAATCTAGACGGTCTCGCTCGCGAGTCGCGGGCACTCTGGACGCCGCGGGCGCCATGACAGGGGCATACGAGCGGTTATAAGGATATGCTGTTTTAAAAGAATATCAGACGGTCAGTTAAAATGTTTATACGTAATGTATTTTATACCAGCACACAAAAAGCAATAGTTTTATAACATACACACAAGTCTATCTGATTACCCACAAATTAATAACAAAGAAAGTGTAAAGTTGATAAAGAACCAAAGTGCAAATTTGGCCCGTGAACTAAAAAGGGAAAGGAATACCTATGTGGCGCGTATGTGGTTGTGATTATGAGGAGGAAATATTAAGAATCGATGCTCGATTTCTAATTTCTGTGCATCTACCATTTTTTTAACTCTGCATCGCCCTAAGGTCGACTGGTAGAAAATGCCTAAGGCATTAAGTCCGCCTGTGTCACATTTGTGCATAAAGTATGAATAAATAAAATAAATAAATTCTCATAGATTTTCGCTTGTTTTTTCCGGGTAACATACTTTACCGTTTCAAGAATACTCTTTCGTTCATCAACAGTATATTTACCTAGTTCAAAATAGAATATAGACGTATTAGTGGATCTAAAGCCTCTTAAAAAATTAAATAATCGCACAAGAAATTTCTCAAAAAATAAAAAAATAAAAGCTCTAGTAAGTTATTAGAAAATATTAAAAGAATTTCAAAATACGTCAAATATGTTTTACCTACTTCAGTGTGTGAATATTCGTATCCATCAGGATTCAAAACTGGTACAAAATACCATTCGTACGTCAAAGCAATGTCTTTCAAGCCTGTAACTTTGGAAGTGCGCGCAGTAACGATGGAAAAAATCAAATAAGTTACAAACGCTGGAGCGATCCACTCTCTGGCATGTATCCCTCCTTCGATGATGACTTTAGACCTTAAAAAATTAAAATAACTTGTTAGTAAGTAGTAGTTAAATTTAATGTAGGCAGAAAAGCTAGAGCATGTAGGAATCACTTGCACAATATCGCTCTCCTAAAAGTGACTGGCGATATTAGGCAGGGTATGGAGGACACCAAAGTCACAGTGCTGGCTTTGATTGATTTCTCGAATGCCTTTAATACCGTCAGTCACGATGTTCTGCTATCCATCCTTTCCTATCTTATGATCTCCTCGGAAGCCCTGGAATGGTTTTCCTCCTATCTTCAGGGACGACAACAGTGTGTTCGTATTGACGGCTTTTCATCGAGTTGGTGCGATCTTTTCACTGGGGTCCCTCAAGGCGGTATATTATCTCCGTTATTATTTTCAATTTTTATTAATCTCGTAACCCAACACCTTCAATGTGCGTATCACCTGTATGCAGATGACTTGCAAATTTACGCCCAATCGAGAGTTGAAGATATATCACACGCCACTGATAAAGTCAACAAAGATTTGGACTTCATAAGGAGCTGGTCAATGAGGTTTGGTTTGTCGGTTAACCCAAGCAAATGTCAAGTGATCGTCATAGGTAGCAAACAGATGTTAAATAGGTTGGACATGACGGCCATACCACCAGTTGTTTTTAACGACATAATCATACCTCTGAGCCCAGTGGTTAAGAACCTAGGGCTACATATTGATTCGACACTTGACTGGAGAGCACAAGTCACCCACGTCAGCCAGCAAGTCACTACATGTCTTCGCGCCTTATATCGTCTCAAGAATTTTCTGCCCACTAAAACCAAGGCTACGCTTATGCAGTCCCTTATTACTCCCTTAATCGATTATGGTGATGTGTGTTATCTTGACCTGAATGCAGACCTCCTCAATAAACTAGACCGACTTCTTAATAACTGCATTCGATTTGTTTTTAATCTTCGCAAGTATGACCATGTGTCTGCTTTACGTTCCCAACTGAAATGGCTCCCGATTCGTCAACGCCGCAGTCTGCGCGCACTAACATATCTTTTTTCTTTTCTTAATTCCCCATCGGTACCTGAGTACCTGGTTCCCCATCTCCGCCTCCTTTGCTCCAGTCACGACCGAAATCTTCGATCTACAAATAATATGCTTCTTCTTTGCCCCCCTCACACTTCCAACTTCATCAATTCTTCCTTCTATGTACAGTCAGTTCTTCTCTGGAATGCGCTCCCAGTTGAAATTAGGATGTCCACTAACCGGTTTACGTTCAAGAAGAAAGTACAAGAACTTCTACAAAATAAGTTGGCAGAAAGGTCACATCGCTAGTACCCGACTATGTGTTTTTATATTTATGTATTTATAAATGTGTATATTCACCTATTGTATGTGTATACTTGAGACCTCTATGTATATATGTAGTTATGAATATAGTATTTTATTTATAGTATTTATAGTGGTAGTGTATATATGTAAGTTAGATTTATCCAACATTAACAATATAAACAAGTCAAATTCTCTGTTTTCTCTTGCACCTACAGCTTCATTTTTCTACATCACCCGAAGGTCGACTGGCAGAGAATGCCTTGGGCATTAAGTCCGCCTTTGTACAACTAGTGCATTAAGTTAAATAAATAAAATAAATAAAATAAAATTGTTAGCATTAGATTTCTATTATTTAAGACACATATGGCTGTCAATGTTGAATCTTTCCGCCATCATTCTGTACGGTACGTTTGCTCGTTTGCCACCTTTCATTAAAAAAAATAGTTTACAGGAACCCTCATACTAATTTAAAATTCATCTAATAAATTTTCCTACGCTTTCGTATTCTACTCAATTATTAATTACAAACCTTCGTTGACTTCCTTTCAAGAGCACCCTGACAGCTATTATATCTCTATTTTCATGTGATTTTCCAATACTCTCCACTGATACTTCACCAGAATATGCTGCGGATAAGTCTGCAAGCCAGCCGTAAATGTCATTCAGGCGATAGAAGTTCTTCCAATCCATAGTGTTCATTCTTCTTCTAATATACGGTTTCACTGTTTGCTGATCGAATGCTCTAAAAACGCAAATTAAAAGTTCTGGATCATTATTTTCTATACTAACTAGGTGATTAGGCGTGTAAATAATGGAAATAGAAAATAATGTCCAACACCACTAAGTTTAAACTTTTCTGTTACCGTTTATATCTTTTTAAAAGGTTTTGATTTCAAAGCTTAAGTATCAAGTAATTCAACTGGTTGGTTTCATTAAACTTTAAGAAAACCTGCCACCTAGACACCGACTGCAATAGAAAACATGGAAATCGCTGTATCGCTTACGTATGCGGGTTGGTCGTTGCAAGAGCAATATGGCATTTTGTGGCTACAGCGACCAATCGCAAACATGCTGTAAACGTGGTGCTACATTAAAAACTATGTTATATTTGATTTCTTGTCTACTGTGCTCCTCCAGCTGCACTGCAGAAGAGCTGTTGAGAACAACGGGTAATACCGTAGCTGTGGGGGAATTTTGGGCACACAAAATTTAAGGTTGTTCATCCATAGATACGACGAAGAAGAATAGTTTGTGTATAAACCCGTGCATTAAGGTATTGACACTTCGCGGTCGATACGATTTAGGTACTCTGGTTACAATTTCTTAAAATAATAGTTATTATGTTTTAACTATTTAGCAAACATGAAACAAAATACAAGGGTTACTCACTTTTGCACATTAACAATTACGGTTTCAAGCGTTAGGCCAAGTTTTGCTGCATCGATAATCAAATCAGACCGGTCCTCAGGGTGTACGATGAAATCAACAGGATTATACATAACTCCTACGTCCTTCCATATGTTTACATCATAATTGTCTACCAAAGTTTCGAGAAATACTAAATGATCTTCATTTAATGGAATAGCCCTATATAAAGTATAATTTTGGTATGTTTTGCTAAAAGTACTTTTAAAAATTACAAGACTTATAAAACAGAACACATTGGTATACATCTTATTTATTTGCTTCACATAGTTAGTTGTTACATATTGTAGAATAATCTGTGTACAGATGTTTTACATTTTGATACAGTTGCAAACGAATCCACTTTAATTCTTTTTGATACTTCCTGATTTGGTATGTAAATAATAACGCATTTGACAAGTGTCAAGTATGAATCACAAAGTACAGTAGTAAAAACATTACTAAAAAGCTACAAAGTATAAATGATTCTATGCTCAGAGCAGATCCTTTAGTCTTTGCTTTATCATAGATGATTCATAATAGATAGAAACCAAAAATAAAACATAAAGCAGATAAGTGTGGTTATGACAATAGACATAATACGTTATGACAAGAGACAATAGTAGTTTAATAAATTAATAATTTTGGGGATAGAAATATGTGTACCTACTTACTTAACTGTTTGCTTTATAAGTGTATTCTGAATGAGATGTAACTCTATTGAAGGAGTTATAGTTTAGTAGAAGAAAACTGAGATGATGATAATAGAGATACATGCGATACACGTTTTAAGTTTCACCCAATATCAAAGTATCAGGGTCGTTTGCAAGCAAAAGGTCACTCTGCGCCTTGATTGGTTGACTTGATTAGCTCTTGTTAGGCTAAACATATTTTGAAAATGCTCCAAATGCTCAAGTCCTATGAATTATCTATCATTCCACACATCATCACATCAACAGAGTTTAATAGTCCACTGCTGGATATAGGCCTCTCCTAGAAAGGAGGTTTTGGCCTACTTTACCACGCTGGCCAGACGGGTTGGTATCGGGTTTGTTCCAAGTTTTCCTTCTCTTTGCAGTGCTGTTGTCCTGCGTAATTTGCTCCTTTAGTCGACTCTTACGACACCCACGAGATGAATAGGAGTGACACTCCGTATTCTTAATCCGTCACCACACGGATACAATTATCTATAGCACTCTATAATTACTTTTAATCAAACTGAGAATCTTAAAACAAATTTATCTAAATCAAATTATCCAATTAATTAATTTTAAAATAAGTTTATGTAATTTAATAAAAGTAATGTTGTATACTTAAAGAGAAAACTACCATGCGTTGATACTTGCCTCGGCTCAGTTAATTAATTACTGTGCCAGTTACCACTGAAACCGTCTTCGAGTAATTAAGCTACCGTAATGGTGCTTGGTCCCTGGCCAATAACAAATCCTAATGACTATCACCTACATTATTGAACAAATTTATAGATTCTCGCACAATAAATGTCTATTAATCAGATACATTGGTTCTTTAAAGCTTCTCCAAAAAAATCTCAAATGCATTTATTAAATAATTATAATTTTGTATAAACTTTTATTATTTATTGTATGATATAACTATTTAATTTATTATTTATTTTTATTCTTTTTTAAATGACAACTCCCGCACTAGGAATATAATCCTGTGACGCGGGGGACTTACAAACACACATGAAAATGACACAAAGGACACTCAGACTCTGAAAAACAATTCGTGGATTACTCAAAGTGTTGTCCCATGTGTGGATCGAACCAACAACACTCAGTGAAATAGGAAGCGGTGAGGTGACTGCCTAAACCAGTACGACATCTGTGTAGCAGTGCATAATAGCAATGTCGTCCTATTCAACACAGTGGGTTCCTTGAGTTCATGTTATAATGGCATGTTCAACATTATTTTTAAAGCATAGTGGCAAACGAGTAGTCGGGTCACCTCATGATAAGTGACTACCTTCACCCGTAGACATCGGTACCCTAAAAGACACAATATCGTATATGCTGCCGTTCAAATACCCCTCTACCCCCACTCTACAAAGTTATGAGGAATGGACAAAGGGGGGCCTGATAAAGGACTCTGATAATAAAGATTTGTTGTTGAGTAATCGACTTATAAATCTAAACACACACATCACATCAACAGCTTTTAAAAGTCCACTGCTGGACATAAGCCTCTCCTTAGAAAGGAGGTTTTGGCCTACTATACCACGTTGGTCAGACGGGTTGGTATAGGGTTTGTGGGGTGCTGGCTAGAAAACCTCCCCGTGGTGCACCCTGGAAACGCTGGCGATGGTACTGTTCCCTCCTTGTCCTCTTGGAGGAGAGGATTATCGCCAGCGGCCAATATTCTAGCAGAAGAGGCAGCCGTTCATCGGCTCTCGGGCAAGGCCTGGTCCAGCAGGGTGGGCGTGTCTGCCGGTTGCCCTGCTGGCTCTTCGCTCTTCGGAGCATGGAGGAGGAAACCTCGGTAAAAAACCTGATGGCGGGGCCCTGTAGGGGAAACAGTTTCTCCGCTGACAGCGGTGGAGAAAGGAGGACGGGCTCGGCGTGTACTCACACTACCACCGAGCAGGCAGGGGGACGTAGTCTCCCTGTCAACCGTCGGCATATCGTAATACCGAGAAGAGCGCTGTGGTTAAGTCTCGCGGCTCTGATCGGGGGCGAGGGTCTGTTGCGTGGCCAGGGGATGCATGGCTGATGGGAAGTTCAGTCGCGAGCGCACTCCAAGCCGAGGTACCTGCGGACCCCTCGGTTGGGTTAAAAACTTACGCTTGCCCGGGTAATGGGGGATCTCTGCCCGGGTGGACCTTTTAGTTCTCCCCTACTCGTGGGATTTATTATGAATTTGAATACAAATAAAAATACAAAGAAACGGACACAAACAGAAAACAAACAAAACCAGGCAAGCAAAACGGACACTGAAACAAAAGGTGCAAGGGAGAAGAGGAACAGTGGAGTCGATGGGTCGTCCACTGAGGGTGAGATGGCGTCGGGAACGCCCATCTCGATGGGGCTCCCAGAAGTCAGTCTGACTCTGATCTCTGGGAGCCGAAGAGCATCGGATCGGCTGCGCTCCGGATCCACCGCTTCGTCGGATGGCGCGGAGGCCATGGAAGCGGAGCGAAGCGACAGCCGAAAACGCGGACGCTCAGGGGACGTGGAAACCGACACGTCCGGCGAAATGATGCCACCAAAGGTGGCAAGCAGCCGCCGAGGGAGGGCGCGTAAACCGGCCTCGGTCTCGACCCCGTCAGGCTCCGCGTTCTCAAACGCGGAGTCCTACAGGAGCGTACGAGTGGACGGCGAGGCCGTAGCGGAGGAGGAGATCGCGGATCTCCTGCTCAAGGTTCGGGAGCCGGTGGGGGGAAATGCCCCCCAGGCTCCCGTGTCCGTGCAGGAGAGGGCGAAAGCGGCGGTGGCCGTCATCGACAAGGTGGCAACCAAATCCGTGAACCTTAAGGGCTCGTTTGTGAGGGCGGCCGCGTTTCTTACGCGGCGGCGGCGTCTGCCCCTACTCCATCGGCTCCACAAAAGCCGAGGAGGGGGGCCAAGGCACCGGCCCAGGCGCCGGCCAAGGCACCGGCTAAGGCGCCGGCCAAGGCACATCCCCAGGCGCCGACCAAGACGGGGCCTAAAACGGCGCCGAGGAGCGGAGTGGCATTCCCTCCGCTCCCCACTCCGACACCCCTGCCGGGCCCCTCCGCACCTGCCCCCTCCAACGAGGGTTGGCAGGAGGCGAGGGGCTCCAAGAAGTCGCGAAGGCGGGCCAGAAAGGCTGCCCAAAAAGCAGCCCAAGCCCAGCCTTCGCCACCAGTGGCAACGGCCTCTGCAAAGAGGCCGCGGAAGCTGCAGCCGCCCAAAACCGCGGCTGTAGTTGTGACCGTGTCCCCGGAGGCGGCTGACGGCGGGCTGTCCTATGCGGCCGTCTTCAAAAAGGCCCGGGACAGCCTCGCCAACGAGTTTGGGACGGTGGGGGTCAGGATGCGCCTCACCCAGACGGGAGCTCGAGTCCTCGAGTTCCCTGGGGCTGAAGGCGCTAAGACGGCGGACACATTTGCCGAGAAGCTGCGGGGACTCTTTACAGCCACGGATGGTGTAAAGATCGCCAGGCCTACTAAGTGCGCAGAGCTGCGCATCTCGGGCCTGGACGACTCCGTAACGGCCGAAGATGTCCGCGCTGTAATCCGGGAGAAGACGGGGTGCAGCGCGGACAACGTCAGGGTCGGCACCATCCGCCCCGGTCCAGGAGGGCTTGGCGCCGTGTGGGTCAGCTGTCCCGTAGCGTCGGCCAAAGCATTGGCCGACGCCGGCAGGCTGCTCATCGGTTTCGTGAGCGCCAGGATCACAGTCCTGGCGGCGAGACCGATGAGGTGTTTTAAATGCCTGGCCACGGGACACACGCGCGTCAAGTGCGACAGTTGTTTTGACTGCGGCGGACTGTGTTTCCGCTGCGGTCAACCGGGGCATAAGGCGGCAGAATGCTCTGCCGCCCCTCACTGCCCAGCGTGTGCGGCGGGCAATAAGCCCGCCAATCACCAGATGGGGCAGAGAGACTGCAAGCCTCCCCGCAGTTCTCGGCAGACGTCAGGGGCTAGCCAGTCGACCCAGGCTGCCTCTGATGTAGTACGTGCGTCGTCGTCGTCGCCCATGGAGGAGGTTGTAAAGACGATCCAGTAATGGATCAAGTCTCCAACCTCCTGGTCCAGACGAACCTGAACCACTGTGCCGCGGCGCAGGATCTCTTCCTGCAAACCATGGCACAGTGGTCGATAGGTGTTGCCGTAGTCGCGGAGCCCTATTCTGTCCCTCCCCGTCCAAACTGGATGGGTGACTGGGACGGCTCCGTGGCAGTCGTCGGTTCCACGACGGCTCATTCCCCGCCCTTGTCGCTAAGAGACAAGGGCACTGGATATGTTGCCGTCGAGTGGGGGGGATCACCATATATGGTGTCTATTTCTCCCCCAACCGGAGTTTGAACGACTTCGAGGTTTTCCTGACCAGCTTGGAGACCTCGATACGGCGACTAGCGTCTGGGCACGTCCTTGTGCTGGGGGACTTCAACGCAAAGTCCATTGCGTGGGGTTCCCCCAGGACGGACGCAAGGGGCGAGGCCGTAGAGGAGTGGGCGGCCTCGGTGGGCCTCTGTCTTCTAAACAGAGGCTCCACCAACACGTGCGTGCGACAGCAGGGGGGGTCGATAGTGGACCTCTCGTTCGCTACCCCTGCCCTCGCCGCACGAGTAAGGAACTGGCGTGTCCTGGAAGATTTTGAGACGCTCTCGGATCACCTGTATATCCGATTTGAGCTCTCCCGGACCCAGGACTCCAGTAGGGGTCACGTGGCGCGGCGTTTATCCCGCTTTCCGCGGTGGGCTGTTGCCAAACTGAACCGGGACCTACTAGAGGAGGCAGCCATAATTCACTCGTGGCTGTCTCCTCAGGCTCCGACCGAGGAGGTCGACGTGGGGGCTGGTCGCTTTCGCGATGCGATTACGCATATATGCGATGCGGCCATGCCCCGCATTCGAGGTCGTCGGCCTCCAAGGAAGGAGGTCTACTGGTGGTCCCAGGAGCTGGCGGACCTCCGTGCTGCCTGTACACGTGCCCGGAGGTCCTACACGCGCAGTCGGCGGCGTCACCGTGGAGACGGTGAGGAGGACCGGCTTCATGAGGAGTACCGACGGGCGCGGAAAACTCTGAAGCTGGCCATTAGCCGCGCCAAAGAAGAAAAGAGACAGGAGATGCTGGAGGGTCTTAATCGTGACCCCTGGGGTCGCCCTTACCGCGCGGTGCGACAAAAGCTCCGCGCGTCGGCCCCCCCCCTTACGGAGACTCTCCAGCCCAGCTTCCTGCGAGAAGTGGTTGAGGGCCTTTTCCCACAACGGGCGGAACACACTCCCCCGTCGATGGCCTCCCTGGCCGGAGACGACGGGGAGCACGGGGAGGATAATGTTCCGCCCGTCCGGGATTCGGAGGTAGGGGCGGCTGTTCTACGGATCCGTTCCAAGAACACCGCCCCTGGGCCAGACGGGGTACCGGCCCGAGTGCTGGCCCTGGCTCTCAACCACATGGCAGACCGCCTCGGGGAGGTGTTCGACGCTAGCTTGGCGTCGGGACGCTTCCCTGAGTGCTGGAAGAGCGGGAAGCTGGTCCTATTGAGGAAGCCGGGACGTCCTGCCGATTCGGTCGCGGCCTATAGGCCCATCGTGCTGCTGGACGAGGCGGGCAAATTGCTTGAGAGGGTTCTTTCTGCCCGCATCGTCCGGCACCTTTGCGAGGTGGGCCCCGATCTGTCGGACGCCCAATTTGGTTTTCGGGCGGGGCGTTCGACAGTCCGTGGCCGTGAGCTGTGGCGGCGTGCTGTTGGCGGTGTCATTGGACATCGCCAACGCATTCAATAGTCTGCCATTCAGCTGCATCAGGGAAGCACTCCACTATCATGGGGTGCCAAAGTACCTGAGGCGGCTAGTGGCAGACTATTTAGAGGAGCGTACCGTCGTGTACGAGGACCGAGAAGGTAATCTGAGGTGTCGGCCCATGTCGTGCGGTGTTCCACAGGGGTCTGTTCTTGGACCCCTCTTGTGGAACATAGGGTACGACTGGGCCCTTCGCGCCGATTTCCCCCCCGGGCTGGGTGTAATCTGTTACGCAGACGATACCCTCGTGATAGCCCGGGGGGCAAACTTCCAAGAGGCGGCGCGCCTGGCCACAGGGGGAGTCTCCCTGGTGGTCGGGCGCATTGAGGCGCTGGGCTTACGGGTGGCCCTAGATAAGACGGAGGCCCTGTTATTCCATGGGCCCCGTCGTGGTCCACCCCCTGGCGCCTCAATCGTGGTCAACTCGGTCCTCGTACCGGTTCGGGCCCAGATGAAATATCTGGGCCTGATCCTCGACGGGAGGTGGCTCTTCGACGAGCACTTCCGACAGCTTGCTCCAAAGCTGGTCGGCGCTGCGTCTGCCCTAGGGCGACTTTTGCCCAATATGGGTGGACCCAGCGTCGCGACAAGACGGCTGTACACGGGGGTTGTCCGGTCAATGGCACTGTACGGTGCACCGGTGTGGGCGGCGGCTCTGACCGCCCAGAATAGGGTACGCCTCTGGCGCCCTCAGAGGGTAATGGCGGTCAGAGCCATACGCGGTTACCGCACCGTTTCGACGGAGGTGGCATGCGCATTGGCCGGAACTCCCCCGTGGGATTTGGAGGCGGAAGTGCTCGCCGAAATTTATCGGCGAGCTGCTGACTTCCGGGCGGAGAGCGGATTTCGCCCTCCGCCCGAGGATGTGCGCGAGTGGCGCGAAGCCGCTCGCCGAGCCACGATGGCTCGTTGGTCGTTCCGGCTGGAGACTCCACGCGCTGGCTTCGCCGCCGTGGAGGCTCTCCAGCCGGTCATCGCCGAGTGGGCAGGGCGGCAGCACGGGACCCTTTCCTTCCGGCTGACGCAGGTGCTTTCCGGGCACGGTTGCTTCGGAAAGTACCTGCACACGGTCGCTAGGAGGGAACTGAGTCCCGCCTGCCACCACTGCGACTGCAGTGAGGACTCGGCCCAGCACACGCTGGCGGTCTGCCCTGCATGGGCGGCGCAGCGCCGGGCCCTCACTGCAGTCATCGGAGTGGATCTCTCGCTACCGGCCGTAGTACGCTCCATGGCCGGTAGCGACAGTTGTTTTACCGCGGTCGCAACCTTCTGCGAGGTAGTAATCTCGCGGAAGGAGGCGGCGGAGAGGGCCCGGGAGGACGACCTCCACTCGGACCCGATCCGCCGCCGGCGAACCGGGCGGCGGAGGCCCGCCTACCACAGCCTCATGCCGCCCTGAGTGTGGCCGCGGGTGGACGGGGTGGGTTTCCCCTCCACCCGCATTAGTTTGGCCAGCCGCGAGGGGGCGGCGTCCGCGTGTGCCGGACGTCGCCTATAAAGAGAGGAACAATCATTGAGACGGAGCCCGCACCAGGAGCGGGCTGGCGCTAGGAGGGGTCCGGATGTCTTAACAACAGCTGTTCCCGGATCCCTCCTGTTACAGGCGCAGAGTGGCACACCGTGTGGTTTTAGTCCGAGGGGATTTCCACACGTTAAAAAAAAAAAAAAAAAAAAAAAAAAAAAAGGGTTAGTGTCAAGTTTTCCTTCTCTTTGTAGTGCTGTTGTCCTGCGTTGTAAGTTGGTCCACGTTATATTGATACCACATGAACGAAACGGTTCAACCAGAAAAGAGAAGAGTTGATTCGACTAGGTTAAGATCTGATCAAATAAGTTCGAGATGCCTACAAATGTAATTTGTTTATTCTAAATAAAAAAGAAAACCATTACATTAAAAAATATACCATATAATAAATATAACCGAAATTAATGTCGATACTAAACGGGTTGTCAACTGTTCACCGCCGCTCATCAGGTCCACTTTTTTTTGTGACACCGTCATTAATTCTGCGATACCAGCGACAGCTTCCTGGCAAGTTGGCAGTATCTGTTTTGGAGGGAGTGCGTAACCGTAGGTTCCATTATCACGCAGAAGAAATGTGTAGACATACCTAATAATAAATAAAGCTGAATAAATAATAAAAAGTTAAAGTGAATATAATCTTGATGAGTTGAAGTCGGTTTCACTTACAATCTTTTAGTCACTTTTAAGATTGGTGTTGATTTTCCAATGTCATCGTATATATCGTCAACGTGCCTTTTAACATGCTTTTGTTAGCTTTATTTACCTACGTAACCTACGTTAACAAATATTGAAAATTCATTTTAATCTACTTCTAATATCGCATTGAAATGAAACTTTGTATTTACGTATAGTTTGGATGACAATACCGTAAGTCCAAGAAATGGGGTTTTGCGACAATGGTCTAATGAAGAAACCAAGAAGTGATTAGTCAAATTTGTTTTACTACCCATTCAAAAACATGATTATTTATTAAGAATAAAGGTGGGAATCTGGAAGTTTTGTCCTGGTTGGTAGCACCGCTAGCGTGATCGACAGACCTGATAAAGGACTCGTCTGATAAACTTCTCAAAATGTGATCAAAATGTAATAGACAGAAGCAGATGAAGACAAACTCCATGTGTACATCTAAAAATGATGACTATAGTTGTCATTGTCATAGTGGACCTTAGTTATGATGCACCGACTACAGTAAGTTCTTTATATGCATTTATAAAAAAGAACAATCTTTTGATGTTTTAACAGTACATAATATATTTATTCAAACTTAAACCTTAATTTCTAATAATAATAACTTCACACATCTCACACAAAGATCTCATAAATGGAACTACATTATGGACTATATTGAGATAACAAATAATATAACTTGATGAACGATAAATAAAATGATTTGGTTTTGGTTTTCATACAGCTTTATATATTTACATACAAGTATAACTAGCTATGGAAAAGATATGAATAGAATAAACTTGATTATACACCAACTAAAATTACTATAAATGATCTGTTGCACGCATTTTAAGGAAAGCCAGCAGATGACCTCAAAAACATAGTTGTTAGTTAGAAGTTTACAATATAAAACAAAATTATAATACTTGATACGAACGCTGTCTTACCTTACGTCGTATGTCTTCTTAACATAACTGCCACTGTTACCGGAAATACGTAGGCCTGTCAAGAAGAAGAAAATAATTCACATAGAGAAATTATTCCATTTGCAAACTGCTTTCACCCTTGGGATCTTGTGCATAAAGTTCGTTTTCCTACTTACCTAAGGTGTCATAGTGACTACCAAGTTCATATTTGATGCCGTTTACTTTGAACATTTTCGTTATTGCTTGTTTGCCATAATGTTCCTGAAAAACAAATAAGCGTATGAAGCTCCATGAATATTTATGTAGCAAAGTATTACAAGATTAAATCCCTGTTAGTATTATAATAAACTAGTTTATGCTTGTCTCATCTTTTCTCGCATGAAAATAGATTTTACCAAACAATTCAGGTACATTTTGGGCACAGTCTTTTTTTTATAAATAAAAGCGACGTTGCCTCTTTTGTTCCATGGATTAGCTATGGGGTGAAAGCGTAATATAAAAAACATACAATGTCACTTGAAGGGTCTTTTGCCATGACTGTTTTCTGTTTTCTTAATTTTTCTGGCAATAACCAGCGTAAACCTATAGCTAGGTTACACATGGCATTGATCACAAAGAGAGTTTCGAAAAGAGCAATTACGCATTTATTACACACGTGTTTTTTTTAGAATCTAAAAGATCGAAAAATGCATGTCAACATTTACATACTCACCGCCTCTGCATAATTTTCAATATGCCTTATCCTATCGGCATAGGGTATAATTATCTTCTGTCCATACCCGTGAAATGAAAAGTAAAATCTCAAGTTTTTTCTATTCTGATATATAAATTTTGACAACGCCTTTGATTCTGGTTCCGAAAAAGGATGTGGTCCGGAAAAGCAGTCATCCTTTTCGTCATCGCTTGTTCCGAATCCTGCATTTCAACATAAATAAACATTACCTAGTTAAAGTTTCGATGTTACAGCTAAAATAACTAAAACCTCTTTTTTTCTGGTAACACATTGTCCACTCGTAACATAAGAGTAGCACAAATGGTAATAAAATAGTAAACTGAAATGAGTACTCACTGCCAAAACTGTAATTAAAATTTCTGTTTAAATCGACACCATAACCATGTCTTAATTTTCTTCTATTCTTTCTCCATAAGCGATCCTGAAAGAGAACTTACTAAAATCTTATATTTACGAAGCAGGAAATAAATACGGTGATTATAAAATTATCTGTACGATTACTAGTTATTTCACTAAATATTTTTTTTTTGTCATTTCATGTCCCCGTGGACATTGCTAAATTAATAATTTTACTTATTTACTTTTTTAATGCGACTACGCACTTTCTCGTAAAATTTTCTGTCGTATTCAGTGTTTTTAAATATCAGCACTGTTATCAATGCATGTATTTTTATAAAGAAGGGCTTAAATGAGTCCTTTAAATAATAATAAGTTTATTGATGCCAAAACATGCAGGCAATTCATTTTGCATACCACTATTTATGCATACAATTTCTAAATCTATTACTATAGATTATAACGTACTTATTAAATGGATTGCCATGAGTGGTATAGATTCTTATTGTACATCCCCTACTATTAATTTCATAGAGTCAACTCAACGTGGAGTAAAATGGATGACATTGAATAAAAAAATGATATTCTATAACACAACGATTTACCATAGTCTGACTATAGACATAGCCATCAGGATTCACAACTGGTATTAAATGCCAGTCATATTTCTTCAGCAGTCGGATTAATTGGTAATTCTTCTTCACATCGGTTGATAATAACTGGTCCAATAAGTACGTAACTACTTCTACTGAAATCCATTCGTTGCCGTGTATTCCACCTTCTACTATAACTCCGAACTTTGGATTTTTTGTCCTAACGCTTATACCGAAAATATCTATGCCTTCTGAAGACTTGCCAATTGAAACCATTTCAACTTTTTTAGGATATTTTACGGCCATATCGGTAAGCCATTTGTAGATATCATATAACGTATGGTACACATTCCACGTAAAAGTGTTTTCTCTCAATTTATAATTCTTACTAATCATTTGATTATCAAAAGCTCTGTAAATAAATATTAAGTGATCATAGGATAAAATAAAGGGTTATTATAATTTTAAGAAATAATAGAAAAGCTTTGCAGATGTTTAAAGTTAACTATTAATTTTAACTAACAATCTGCAGAAAATAATAATTAAAATTAAAATGTTCGCAAATTATTAAACACAAACAAACCTTTGAATATCATTAATCAATACATCAGCCTTCAACTTGTAGTGCTGCGTTCTTTCAAGAAACCTGCCCACGTCATTTGGATTCACCATTACTTGGACACTTTCATACAATTTGTACGGTTTCTTCCAAAATACCACATCAATATATTTTTGATGGTCCAAATTTTGTAGAAACTGCAAATGTTCATTTTCTGTCGGAACAATGTTATATAAAGAATAGTTGTAAAACATGACACATTGACAAACTCTAAAATTATTGATAAAAATAAATAGGATCGCGATAATTTTGGTATTCATTGTCATAATATTTCACAATATTATTTTTTAATTCTTCATTTCTCATCTGCTGATGTAAACTTCTATGACATTTGTTAGATGACACTGAAAGAAAGTCTGGTCTTTAGTCTATTCACAGATACTTAGGATCTATTAAATGATCAAAACCTTCATTTTTAACATTACGAGTATAAATTCGAAACTATCGTTACTGTGCTTATGGATTTGTGTGTCTATTTGCTTTATTTTTACCAGTCAATATGCATGAATGAATATGTATTGAGATAAAAGGAGGAAATATTTTTTGTAAAAATAATACATGCATGCAAAGGATGAAATAGAGAGTGTAACTTTGGATGAGAAATCTATAATTTATTTAATTCTGAGAAAAAAAATGATAATATGTTTGTTACTACGCAGACAAAGTGGCAGGAACCAATTAATATTTTATAACGTGAAAGTAACTCTTGACTACGCAAGACAACAGCACTGCAAAGAGAAGGAAAGCTTGAAACAAACCCTATACCAACCCGTCTGGCCAGCGTGGTATAGTAGCCCAAAACCTCCTCTCTAAGGAGAGGCCTATGTCCAGCAGTGGACTATTATAGGCTGTTGATGTGATGTGTGATGTGAACTCTTGACTGCCTTTCATATTGATGATCATCATTTTATTTTGATTGTCTTGTGGAGCTTTATCTATCAACAGAAAAATATGACGAGTTAAAGCTAACAGAACAATAATAATATATATTAGAAACTTACCAACATCTGCCTATGACTTCTTTGGCATAGATTTCAATGGTTATCTGTCATCAATCATAAATCATAGATAGAAGACTTTTCGTGTCCATAAACTTGAGGACAGATTAGATTTTTTACGAGGAATTTTCTGTCCGCATACTACACGAAATGTGCACCAATAAGCTCCGGTGTTGTGTGTTGTTTAGTTTCCTAATACAGCTGTTTCTGAGAAACACTTACATCAGTAGTCAAATTCTTATGTGTACTCCTAATATTGAATGATTTGATGTTTACGAATAAGCTGAACTGTAGAGTTCGTCATAGCACAGAAATCAACTGCGAAATTCCGGTTTCTATAATAACGGATCCATTAAAGTATACGGCGGAAGGGATTATTATATAATTTCTGTAATACTCCCTTTATAGCTAAACTTGGAGATCCTTTTAAGTATCTGTCACTTTCCTGGGGGACAGCTGATTAAGAAGTTAAATAAAAATGTAGCCAACAGACGTGTAATAGGAAAACTTTAGGCGAAGTTTAACTTAGCACTTTTAACAGCTTAAACTGATCATTGCTTGGATTTAAATTTCTTTGCTCAATTATTAAATTTTGTGGTTTTACCTAATAAGTCTAAATAAAATCTTTAATTGATTGTGAAAATGTAAATATAAATACATATCTTTTGTATGGCAATGAAATGAATGCTGGTAAAATACGTTACACCAGATATTACAAATCGATAAAGTAAATATTTGTCATGATATTACAACCATTATTAACACTTACTGCACTAAAATATTAAAGTTGTCCGCAAAATTATATATATAGGGGTTTTAAAGCCAAGTGAATGTGAAATATTATTAGTGTGTTTTAAAGAATTCATTTACAGTCCTAAATATAACTGATTTGGATTCTTTTGAATGATTCAAGTTATGATACGTAGGTACACCATAGCTAATCTACAAAAAGGTAAGTGAAAAAATATTACTATCCGCACGTTGCTAAGTTGCGATCAATGTTGCCGACCTAGTGGATTGTCCAAAAAACTGGTTTGGACTCCTCTGTTAATGGCGAAATATTGCTTTTAGTGGCTAATGAATTTTTCTAGTGGTAAGATTGCAAAGTACTTAGGAGATGATGTTGAAAGATGAACTATGAGAACAGTTTGTGTACGTGAACCTTAAGAATTCGATAAGAAAGGAAGAATGGTGATTTAACAGAAGTGCTCAGGAAGAGAAGGATTATTAATTGTAGGCAATAGGAAGATGTAGGCTTTAGGCCAGAAATGGTGAAGATTATGGAGTTGAGAGAGAAGTCAATAATGTAGGCTATAATTTCCTAAAAATTCAGGATGGTAACTATCATCCTACAGCCGATTGACGTTGACGTTGGAAGTTAAATCTTTTCTCTGCTATGTGAGAAGTAGTAAAAATAGGCTGTGGTTTAAGGTTGGAAGGAAAGTGCTGTAACGAATATGAAATTGCAATAAACGTTGCAAAACAAATCGATACAAAATAATCGTACTCGTATCAATCTGAAACCCACGATGATCGTGCAGATAAAAACGATTCAACTGAATAAGACGAATTAAATAAAAAATATGTAACTATTGTTATGGAATATTTTTTAATGATTTTGATCTTGATTTGTTGATTTATTGAATGTTAGCATTAGTATTACGTAATAAAAAAAAACTAATTATTATAAACATACGTATTGAAGAATAAGTTTTGTATGTATTGTATATTTTTTCTCAATAACTTTTTTTTTAAGTTTAGTGGAAAATATAGCTACTATTAGAATAGAGCCCTTTTTTGTTAGTGGTTTTCTGGTAGTTTTAGATGTTGAATCTGGTGGAGAGTTAATTTAACTATACGCTAGTCGCAAGTAAAGGCTGGTCTGATATAAAAATCTTACCTTTTTATAAAATATTGTTTAGTTATTTTATTTCGTTCGGAATACTAACAGCACTAATAACCTAAGGTAAAACATTAAAATAAAGTAACAACTAGATTCGGAAGTAGAACGGTATTCGCAAATATATTCCAAGTGTGAAACAATAGTTCAAATAACTTACAAACAACAACATAAAAAGTACATTTAAAAAAATACTTATTAGAAATAACACATTTTTGGAAACAAAAGAAAAACGAGACTAAGAAAATATCACGCTCCTAATATTAGGCTTAAAAATTTTTTGAAGCATGTATTTTTTTGACATGTTGTCATTTGTCAATTTATGCATATCATTTACAGATCTACTGGCTCAAATAATATAGGTATTTGTTGGAGGTACTGCTAAGGGTGGATTATGCCTAGCGCGTAAATTATGCGGTCATAGTACCGCATAATTTATGCGCTAGGCACATAATTTTATTTTAATTATCTCGAGAAGAATCGAGCAATCTATTTCTCCGTTAATGATTTTTAATAATGTAACAATATCGGAGACAGTACGTCCATTTGTTAAATGTGAAAATGATATCTCATCAGTATATATAGTGATATAGTTTAGATTTAAGTTTTTTTCATAAAGTAAGCAGTTCACTCCGAGACTATGAATCAAAGCAACAACTATAATAATTTAATTAACTAAGACTGTATCACAGCAGATGCAGTTGCGAACAGTCCGACTCATTAAAAGTTCAGTCTTAATGAAAATAAGAGGAGCGGCTGTCGTCCTAAGTTTTTGTGAATTATACTTTGAGCTCTCTTTGTCAGCACTTCACTAGATTCTTGTTTTACGGGACTAATGAAAATGTTGCAAAGAGTAAAATTCTTTTTATTCTTTCTTTTATCATCATTTTTTTATCTCGATTTTTTAATGATATGAAAGGCAAGCGAGCATGTTGGTCGTATGATAGTGACTATCGCCTATGGATATCGCAACTATAGAAAGGAAAGTGCGTTGCCACGCTTTCACATCACATCAACAATCTTTAATAGTCCACTGGTAGACAGAGACCCATTGAATGGCCGGAATTCTATGAAGCCGTAGTATCAAGGCCTATATGTGTATCAGCATGGCTCTCCTACGAAATGTAAATTTTCATATTGGTTTTGTAATCTATTATATAATATACTGACCATTGTGTATCAAGTGTTATGGGATAATGATGTGTTTACATCAGAATTGAATATTAGTTAAATCCATGTTACAACGTTATGGTGCAGACCCTGATAGACCCGAGAGAAACCTGGATAAAAAAATATTACGTTGTTTTTAAAATTAATGTTTAGAGTATCAAGTCGACGCTTTTAGATAAGGAAGTCTCTTGCTGCTAACGACTATCATGGGGTATCTCTTTTTTTTGCGCCTCTGTGTGGTACTTCTTACGTTCTTGAGTTTCCCTAGAAAGAGCATACTTTTTTTATTGGAAGAGGGGACAACAACAACAATGACCAGACGAGTTACCTGATGGAAAGCGACTACCGCTGCTCTTGAACGCCTGCAACTCAGGAGTCACAAGCGCGTTGCCAGCCTTTGAAGCAAGGCCTTTCTTAAAGGTTATTCCGATCTATAAATATCGCAGACGATAACTTGTTTCATAGATTAGTTGTGCGAGTCAAAAAGTGACAGTTGACTAACTAGATTGCCCAAACTGGACACAACGCCAAAGTGTGGTATATTCCCTTCATCTTGGGAACCTCTGTATTATGCGTAATTAGGTCAGCAGCAAAGCAAGCAAGTATTTATAAATAAACCTGGCGGCAACGAGACAATTTGCACCAGGATCTAAGGTTCATTTTTACAATTGATTATTTTCAAGCTAGCTTTCCGTGAGGAGCTTCATTTTGATAAGACGCCCAACTTTTTCTCTTACAAAAAATGCTGATGAAAGCTAATATTGGTAGCAGGGGTAAAATATATTTAAAGTTTTGCACCAGGGACTTCGTTTCTAGGGTATACCTGGTTCCCCGGCTATTAGTACCCGAGACGGTGTGCGGATTTAGTCGGTTCGAGTCCGACATGCCACCGATAGGTGGTATCCGAGGGGATTACCGCACGGAAAAAAAAAACTGGGGTAAAATATATCGATTTGACGATCCTCATAAAATTATTACTAATAGTGGGTTTTTCGTTCAATCTTAAGAAAATTAATAACATTATTGAATAAAATATTAATCCCATAAAATTTATGATTTGAGCAAAGAGTTCTTCCAACATGTATCGATACCGAGGTCATCATCATTCATCAACATCTTTCATCAT